TTTCACTCATTTTACTTAATCTCAACACATGTCATTTATTTATTCATTATGTACATTCTTATAAATAATCATGTATAATTTCAATCATTAGTCTGAAATATACGAAGGCCAGTCTCGGCCACGTCCGACTCGTAAGGACTCTGAGTCCGGAGGCCACTTCGGCCAATCCGACTCGATCACGTTTTATATGTCTGTTTGTTGATTTATGTAAACTGTTGCCATCGTTGAGACTCATCTAATAAATACGGAATCCTTCATCATTTGTTTTATCTCTGGAATGGCATATTGGTGGACCTTCGGAAATACTGCACACCTATACTTTGTTTTTACCTTACGGCCTTACAGCGCCTCTACCTATACCTTGTACCCTCTACACCAACATTTCCTCAACCCGTTCGTTCTGCAAACAATGGATGCAGTTCCAGACGAATTCCTAAGTACCGTCCAAATCTACACAGTTACATAAAAATCAGACACAGTTTAAAGTCAATTTACTACAGAAACTTGGGGATATTCAAGTTCAAAATCGGTGAAAATTTTAATTTGAACGTAAATAACAAATATAATGTTGATCTACACTTAATCTCGTATATTTTTATTTTTTTAGCTCAGATACGCCTTATATAGCTATAAAATAATGCTGCTAGATATTATATAAAAAACTTCCAAAATATCCCAGAGCCCACCAAAAGGGTAACAATTTAAAACTAGAGGTAGAGAGCATTGAATTCACAAAATGATACCCTCCGTTTCCATATGAGTTAATGGTAAAGTCCTTTTTTTTTGCAATGGGAAACCATAAATATCTATCCAAGCAGAACATAAAATAGGAGGTACACAATGGTGCTATGTAATAAAGATACTGTGAAAGTTTCAATAAATTTTATTCAGTGGTGAGGAGTTGCGGGAAAGAGATGCATTTGTACCCCAATATTATGGAAAGAATGGCAGTGTCCAGGTTTTTTTCTGCGGCAAACCTTAAATATCAATCCAATCGAAACAAAAAATAGGAGGATTCTGTGAAAGTTAAATTTCATTCAGTGGTATAGGATGAGTTGTAGATAAGAGACGGATACAGTGTACTCAGAATGTTATAGAAAGAAAAACAGTGTCCATCTTTTGCTATGGAAAACTCCAAATATCTGTCCGATCAAAGTGTAAAATAGGAGGGGCGCAATGGCACTTTGTAATAAAGATTCTATGGAAGTCTGGTTAAATTTTATTCAGTGGTATAGGAGGAATTACCGATAAGAGATGGAAACCCCAATGTTATAGAAAGAATTGCAGTGTCAGTGTTTTGCTATGGGAAACCCCAAATACATGTACATGTATGTGTGCGATCGAAACGTAAAATAGGAGGTGCACAATGGTATTATGTAATAAAGATTCTGTGAGAATTACATTTAATTTTATTCAGTGGTATCGAAGAGTGTCGGATAAGAGATGGGTACCCCCAAGTGTTACGAGTGTATGAAAGGACGGAAGGACGGACACCCCATCACTATATAATCCCCATTTTTCAAGCGAGGTATATACTCAGTAATACATCTTCTGGCTTAGGAGAGGAAGTACCCCTTCCAGATCATACTCTTTTCAAACCCCTTTTCAGAAACCCGGAGACGGTCCTATTTTTATACCCTCCGCTTGAAAAGCGGGGAGGGAGGAGGGGTAAATAGTCATAGGGTGTCCTTCCATCCGTACGTCCGTAACACTTGGGGGGTACCCATCTCTTATCCGCAACTCTTCCCATACCACTGAATAAAATTTAATGAGTCTTTCACAGAATCTTTATTATTTAGTGCCATGGTGCACATTAAATTTTACATTTCGATCAAACAGGTATTTGCGGTTTCCGATAGCAAGACATGGACACTACTATTTTTTTTTATTTACCATTGGGGATATCCATACATCTCTTATCTGCTACTCCTCCTATACCACTGACTATAATTTACTGAGTCCTGTAGAAAATCTTCATTACGTAGAGACATTGTGACCTCCTATTTTACATTTCGATCGGACAGATATTAAGGGTTTCCAATAGCAAAAAAATAAATGGAATTTACCATTAAAATCATATGTGAGCGAGCTAATATAGTTTTAATGTACCTCCTAGTATCTCCCCTAAATAGGAAGGGAACATTCTTTTCTAATTATAATTTCCTGTCTGTAACCAAATTGCATTCTAACAATAATCTAGAATCCATCATCCATCCATGGAATGAATCGAAAGTACACGAATGTTGTTACTCACGACTTGAAAGTTTGACATACCCGATCTTTTAGAGTCAATTTCAATCAGTTGTGAACTGTTGTTAACCTTTACATTAAATAAGACATTTTATATTGATTCAGGGATGTATCATTATGGTCATGAAGTATGGGGGAGGATTATCAATGGGTAAAAGGTGCAATCAACCGTTTTTGAAACCATCATTTTCATTGAACACAAAAAATAACTGCAAGCTAAAATTTAAATGATTGTTGCACGGACAACTTCTGCCATATTAATTGTTATCAATAATATCTACAATGTCATTGATCAATGAAAATTTGCTAGAAGCACATCAGTATCGACTCTATACACAAACATGTACCCTATGTAAAATCTCAAATGAAACAGAAATTATACATTTAAAGGGGAAAATGGGGGAAAAAAATCCAGAAAATTACATTTATGTTATAGTTTTGCTTGGGCGAGATGACAAAAATGTTAGAATAGCAAACCAAAAGGTTAAACAATGACACCCCCCCCCCTTTAAAGTCAGAGACAAAAATGCTTTATATTCTGCATTATTATGGTTATCAAGCCATATACCAAAACAAGGTTTTTTTAAGCTTATGCAAGGAATGGTGAAGGAACTTAAAAAAAAATTCAAGTAAATCTAGAATTAGCACTCTTTTATTTTAACATTCCTCACATCAGCATTCATGCCAGGTTTCGTTTTTGATCTTGGGGTGTTACATCTCCCTCCCCGTTTGTAGATCAAGCTATTACATTGTGTCCATTAAAAAAAACCAAACCAATTCCCATTAAAATTGGCTCTTTTATACAGAACTATGTACCGGTACTTTTTTTTTTTTTACCATTTTTACAGTGACACAAATCTAAAGGAACTTGTACTTAATTATGTAATTATAAATTGGTGCTGCTATCTGAAGATTTCAAAGCACTTTAACTTTTCTTTATCTGAATTCTATCTGGAGCTTTTAGTCTGGTCATTTTATCAATACAATAGCCAGACCGGATGTGACATAACTTTTCCATTAAGAGACAACTGCATTGTGCTTGAACATCTGACATCGATCGGTTACTTTCACTGGACATTTGGATAACTCTAAAGAAGTTTGATAAGACTTTCGTTTAGCCTTATGAGAGGAACCACATTAAAGTTGTTTACATTTGTATCTAATGAATTACGGAAGAAAATTGACAAGAATGTTATTAATTTTGTATTTTGCACATCATTATTTTAAATTTGCACTGCCTTTTGGGTTTGGTTTTAAAACTCATTTTTGTTATAACATAAAGCCTTATAATTATTTCATATGCAAACACATAGATATTTCTGCTAGACAGATATTTTCCAAATCAAATTTTCAAAAATGATGATCTGCCTACCCATTTAATCTGTAAAATCATATCTGGATTATACAAGACCGTAACGTACGAACCTTGGATTGAAGTAAATTGAAAAAGGTGAAGATTACGAACAGTGCAAGATCGATAAAAAAAATCTATGAACAATACAATTCTGTGAAGAGGGCATAAAACACGGACCCCTGAAAATTTCAGAGGTGGGATCAGGTGTCCTGGAGGAGTAAGCATCCCCTGTTGACCAGTCGCACCCGCCGTGAGCCCTATGTATTGATCAGGTAGACGGAACATTCCGTAGTCAAATTCAGTATAAACACAAAGGCCTAACAATTGGCATGAAACAAGTCTGCCAAAATGCGACCCAATGATAGTTTATATTTGCTAACAAGGTCATTATAGCGACCATAAAATTTAATGCTGACTTTAAACGTGGTTGTTAAAATCCGACTATCTTTAGTATGTTGTTACCCTTACTTAAAGGTCTGACTTGAGCTTAACTCAGAGTCATATCCAAAAAATAATTCAGTCTTGAGAATGTTTTGCTGATGACAAAAAGGTGCTTCAAAGTCTTGACTCAAGGTACTGTATGATATGTTAAAGTCAATTTGGTAATGCGATATTGCAATTGTAACCAGGCCATAACTTTGGAACATTTTTAGGAATGAATTTTAAAAGTCTTGATCATGTCATTGCTCATGGCCTTAAGGTGTGTCACACAACCTTGATTAATAATCATAGCTAAAATACCTTGGCCATGTCATAAAAGCTATAAAGTAAGGACCATGTGCAGATAAGGAGGAGAGAAGATATCTTTCTGTACCATAAATAATCTAATTAATTGTGCAACGATTATGAATGAAAATCAAGTTATAATCATATCGTCGAAATTTTATGTAAACTTAAAAGTTTAAAAATTATAAAAATATTATTCAATCAATTATATTTTGCCAATCTATTAAATGATATCTGGATCGATTATCATTAAGATGACAAAAGTTTATGAAGACTGAGGTGAGTATCTAAATGCAGAGAAAGGCAACATCTTAGAATAGAAAACCTTCTTACTCTTAGGAACAGTGAGTGATAAACTCACAGTAAAACATCAGTTTCGTATCATGTTGATCTTCAAATTTTTACTCATTTAGTGTACTGTCTCAATTGCTTAGGTTCATACCCCATGCTTAAAGAGTTCTTTTCCAGCAAGTTTATTTTTAAAACATATCCCTTCATATGCTTTCACTTTCACTTTACTTTGCCATGCATATACGTTTTGATCTATGTACTCATAATAAATGAAAATCATCCAGTGGTTATGTTCCGATAGTTTTGTTGAGTTGTAAAAGATAATATATTTTTATGCGTGTTACTTCATGAATAAATCCGCTTTCCCCCTCTTTTTCAGTTACAGAAAAAGAAATTCAAAACTGGTAAGTAGATGTAGATCTTGTTTTAATGTTTGTCGATGTTTTGAAATAAATCAGAAAAAAAATCAATGTTGGTCTTCCTCAATGCTTATGCAAACTCATCATTCGCTGTTGATCTTGTAATGAAATATCAAAGGAAGGTTGTGCAGTATGGACATTTTGAAAAGATTTCAAAGTGATATTATGTATAATCTTAATTTCCAGCAGTAGCTGTGGTCAAAAATGTTAACCATGTGTCGAATGCTTTGAAAAACAAATAAAAAGTCATCCTCTGTGTTAACCTTTCTTTTACGAACTACCAAAAAACTTGCCAACCATGACAATAATAATAACCAGAATATACGATTTTTCACAGGTACAAAGGCTTTATGAAAGATTGTCCAGATGGTAAACTGACATTAGAGGTAAGTCGTACGGGGGGTGAGGTCAAACATGAAAGCCAGAGGGCAGGAAAAAAAAGACTCACAACAAATACTAGTACACAGAAAGCTGATACAATACACATGTTTATCCTAGTTTCCTTCCACTTAACAACGTTTGTGAATGATAATGCACTGGAATATAATGGTAGGATTCTGCTTTTAATTAGGCTTAAAAAGCATAGTTTTGTTTACTTTTACCTCTAAAGACACAGAGTAACAATGCTTATAATGCGTGTATCTCTCGTCGTAAATTGCTGTATAAAACTTTTTGGAGTTTAATTGATATATTGCAAAATACATTTTCAAGTATATTAATTTTCAATTTAATAATGCAATATTATCAAATATGACAAAAACTTCCAGTATATGTAATAATAAGATTTAATATCAATGAAGAGTAAGTGCAAAAATATGAAGGAACATGAATCTAAAATCAGATCTAGAGTAAAATAGCTAAATAATTATATAATAAGAAACTTTGAGGGATTCAGTGTTTTACAGAGACTACAGTACATTTGAAAAGAAGGCATTAAGTTTAATCTTTTAATTCCCTGAGAAACATAAGCCACTAGATTTTTCTAAAATAATTTGAAAACGTAGCTGAATGGATGAAGAAAAAGAAAAAAAAAACTCCAAGAAAAAAAAGATATACCTTATTTTTTTCCAAAATATTTGTAGGCAAAATTAAGTTTTGAGAAAAATAAATACCAGGTAAACTTCGGTATCTCGACATCGGATATGTCGACAACCTGGGATATGTCGACGTCCGTCCGCGGTCCCGGCAGTATTTACTATATAAATGATTTGCAAAAACTCTGATATGTCGACCTCGGTAATCTCGACAACCCTGGTTATCTCGACGTATATTCACAGTCCCAAGAGCAAAATTTACTTGGTATATGTCGACATCGGCAATTTTCTGCTCCACTGAACCTAACTGTTTGTCAGATAGGGTCGCTCGTCACGCACGGACGGCTCCGGGTATCTCGACGTCGTCAAAAATTCACACCTTTCACACCCATGTTTTGACTGCTTAATTAATTCTATAGACTGTGTTTGTAGGTGAATCAAAAGCCCCCTCGGCGTCTTTGAGACGTTAATTGCTTAATGTTCAGCTTGGGTAATATCACTGATAAATCTACACGATTCTGCTTAAATTTACAGGTGTTTATTTATGTCGAAACCTAACATAACTTTTGAAATTGAAAAAGATAACTAAATTACAAAGAATAATAAACATATTGAATAAATTCAAACTAAAGAATTAAACGATGTTCTAATATTTTGTAGTTAAAATGCATTCAACAGGAAATAATCCGATTAACGACACGATTAACCGAATCATCCGTAATTCATGCATCTGTAATATCACTACGTTAATTTAGATACACAAATCTCTTAAAAAATTAATATTAATGCACATTCTTCCTGAATGAAATAAGAAAAAAATAATTACGCATTTTATATGTTTTCGTATCTCGGATGTCGACTTTATCATGTTTATATGGTTCGGTTCGAAGTTTATAGAGCGCATTTCGTATCCTGTTCTGACAAAAAAGCAAGTAGCCAAGTAACACGCGAATGCTGGATGGAAAACTACAAAAATTCAGAACGATTTCGATAAAGAGAAAGAACAGGTTTTATAAATTAGATTTTTTAAAAATAACTTCTTAGAGGGATTGCTGAAATAAGTTGACCTACAGTCTATATTGAAGTCATGTACGTATAATAAGCTTATACACATGTATGTGTTTGGTTATGCAGTGAAATCTTGGACGTCAAGTCTCAACTCTGATATCTCGATACCTCGGATATCTCGACATTTTCCGATGGTCCCGTCGATGTCGAGATAACGAAGTTTACCTGTATTTGTTCAATATATTATAAATTGTTAGAACTTAGGCCCAGTTTTAAAATTTCCAAGTAAAGAGTGTGAAAATAAGAGGGTGTGACTTGGTCTGGCTAAATTACCACGATCTCGTTGATCATATGGGAATGTGAAATGCATTGATGTTACTTAATATAATGCTGTATAAAGTCTGTTAGTGTGGTCGTCGTTCTGTCCTGAGGCAATATTTAGTTGTTTTCCAATTTCTAGAGACTCTCCATGGTCACCCTTGGGAATTCAGACTTTTTGCATAATATGGCGTTTGGAGCAAAATCAAGTGGAATATTCATAAGCTATAATCCTTCAAAGGGCATTATTTCCTAATTACCGATAAAGCTCTAGAGAGGCCATTCCTAACTGCCAACTGATCAGCCTATAGCCGTTAAACCACATTTATAGCAAACGCCATATCAGCACACTAATATTGCGAATATGTCATAAGCAATTGATTTCCTTATCAAAATACGTCAGGTTCTCCTCTGTATCGGCAATGTGTGGCATGTTTGGTTACAACGCCGAAGAAAAGTACACTTTTATTAAAAAAAAAAAAAAAAAAAAAAGGACTGTTTGCCTCACAATCTATTATATATGATTTCTTACCATGATGAAGAATTTGAGAGGCCCTGATTTTCTGTTATTTTTTGATGCATATTTTAAGGACATAGGATAATCCAAAAAAAAATTGCTCCAAGAAATCTGCAAAACAGCTTGTGTAGGCTTATTGCTAAAACACATATTTATCAAGAAAATGCCCTATCAAACCAGTCTTTGGATATTTTTTTTTATTCTCCCAAGATCTATACTTTTCAAATCTATATTGAAATTTAATGAAAATACATAAAAAGATAAAAATCCCCCAAACAAATATATATTTACTTTAATTTTACCATGTATCAAATTAATTTGAACATCAAAAAGGGTTTAAACAAGTGGGAATCACCAAATTCCCACTTTCTCCGGATTTGAACCTATATTCAAATATTTGTACCTATCATCAAATAATTGAACCCATCTTCAAATGAATTGAAGATATGTCAGCACAGTTTAATTACAGATAGGTCGTAATGAACTAAAGATAGGTGTATTAATGATTATAGGTCTATCTTTAAATAATTGCATCTAGGTTTAAATGAATTAGATATACATGTAATTCCATTACAGATAGGTTTAATTGATTTATACCTATCTTTAAATCATTTGAAATAGGTACAATTGATTTAAAAATAGGCAAAAATAAAACATCCCCACAAATGATTAGAAAATAGATTTAAATCAAATTTAAACCTTGTTTCAATTCAGTCGCAGCTATCTTTAAATACTGTATGTGTATATAAATTAACGTTTTCAAAATTTAGCACTGTGACTTCCTATGCACAAGATGACGTCACCATAAATTAGCACCACAGATTTAGGGGTTGTGCTTTGTTTTAAGTTATGATGAAGCCCGCTTTTTTAATGTATACATACAGTAAATTATACTTATTTTTAATTCTTAGTATTTGTACTTATCTTCAGTTCTGTTATACCTATCTTCAAATCTGTTGTGCCTATCTCCAAACAAATTAAAGATAGGTATGATTAATTTAAACCTTTCTCCAATTCATATAGAGATAGGTACAGTTGATTTGAAGATAAGTACAAATATTTGAAGATAGGTAGAAATCAAATAATTGTACTGAACCTATCACCAAATTAAAATTGAAGATAGGTACAATTTAGTTAATTAAAAGATCTAAATTAATTAATGATATTTGTAAATAATTACACATACCTTGAAATAATTGAACATGAGTTCAAATAAATTACACCTATCTTTCATTGCATTGAAGATCCGTAACGGTAGCTCAGTCGGTAGGGCGCTCGCTCCGTGCTCGGAAGGTCGTGTGTTCGAATCACGGCCGCGACTGATCTAAGTCGATAAAAAATAAGTAGCAACTGTTCCTACGCCAAGCGCTCGGCACGTTGAAGTGAAAGTTTCGGGTCCTTCGGATGAGACCTTAAAAACCGAGGCCCCGTGTCACGGAAGGCGTTGACACGATAAAGAACCCTTTCTGCTCAATGGCCCTAAGTGCCGAGTAAAAGTCTAAATTTGAAGCCTTTCGCCGGTATATGGTGACGTATCTATATGAGTGAAAAATTCTCGAACGGGACATAAAACAACATGCAATCAATCAATCATTGCATTGAAGATAGGTTCAATTCAAGTACAGATGGATTCAATAGAATTTACCTACCTTTAACCAATTTGAATATAGGTACAATTGGTTGAAAGATAGCTGCAATTGAATTAAAGATAGGTGGAATTAAAACATCTCCACCAATTTTGATTTGAAGATAGGTATAAATCAATTATACCAGGTACAATTCAATTGCACCTATCTTTAAACTAATTATACCTATCTTCAATTCTTAGTATTTGTACCGATCTTCAATTTAATTATATCTATCTTCAAAACAATTGTTCCTATCTCTAAATGACTTTAAGATAGGTATAATTTAACAAAACCTATCTTTAATTCATTTGGATTTGGTGTTCCATATAAGTTTTGCAATAGTTTCATAAACTAATTTAATAAACGAAATGTATTTCATGGTCTTGTGCGTAATGTTCTTTGAAAAACAGACCGCGAGTAGAGAAATAAATTTCATTATGTATATCTTTTGAATGAGATGTAAATTCCTAAATGTCGTAAAAGTATGGTAGGAGAAAAAAGAATTTGACTTCTTTGATCTTTTGTGGTTTACAACAATTAATCCGACAGCGGATGATTTCAAAACACAAGAGTTCGCTTTTGTTTTCTTTTTCTTCTGTTGTAAATTTCTTTTAGAAATAAGTAGTTTTAAAAAGGAAAGCGTACACTTTTTTAGCCCTTTGACTGATCTCCAGAAAATTCGATGTAAATTTGTTTAACATGTGGTAGCCTTTCTGCTCTGAATTAGATTTATTTTTTTGTTATAATACTTGGATTTTCTTTTCATCAATCAATTAAGAGAGATACATTAGTAATTACGTAAACAATACTGGAATACTTACTATTATTACTTATATAAGTACACTCAAATTCGGAAAGCATAATGGATAACAGTTTACAAACGTATGATTTTGAAATGAAGGTTTGTTTTACACTCTATATGTGTATATGCTTAAAAATGCACGAGAAAAGGAAGATTATCGAGTACTAAGTATGTTTCATAACTGTATTCAAAGAAAGAAAGAAAAACTTTGAGCTCATTTTAAGCGATTTTTTCCGGATGAATTTTCATTTAGACAATGAAATCAAGAAACAAACTACTATTGGAATAAGTACAATTATGACAACAGTTCAACTGCTTGAGGTCCAGGAGTGAAGAAGATTTCTAAAGATAGCACTACTTTCTATGCTTTTAGCCTCACCCCTCAGACCCCAGCGGGGCGAGAACCATGAAATTCACAATTTTAGTTTCCCTTCACTCATAGATGTTCTATGCCAAAATTGGTTGGAATTGGTTCAGCGGTTCAGTATAATTTATCAAAATTAAATTATGCTTATTAATTGTTTGTAAAATATGAAAGGCATCATTTAATTGTTCTTTATAAAATTGCATTTATTTTTCCAGGGATTCACAAAAATCTACAAGCAGTTCTTCCCTTTCGGAGATCCAAGTAAATTTGCGTCGTTTGTATTCAATGTTTTTGATGAAAACAGGGACGGTTATATAGAATTCCACGAGTTTCTTACAGCCTTATCTGTTACTTCTAGGGGAAGTGTTCAAGAAAAACTTAAATGTAAGTGCTCTTTTTATTTTATTTTTTAAAATAAACTGCAATTTCAATCGTATGAGGATTGAAAAAATTTGTTGTTATAATAGGAAGTTTTCTTTACTTGAAAAAAAAATGATATCATTTTAAAGGGTTTTAAATTTGATGTTTTTCTTTTCCATTGCTACGTATACATGTAATCCTATTGGATCCACTCGTTATATTAAGGATCCTCAAAATCCATGGCCATCACTTGTATTTATGCATTCATGGCTGGCCTCCCCCCTCTCCTACCCCCTCCCGATACCGTGTGCCTGACAAGATGGTGAAGTTATGTGGCGAAAATCTGACTGTAAATGCTTTACTTGTATCACTTTTTCTAAAAAAATATTGTTCATTATGTATTTTTTTTTCAAACACGAAAAAGTACTTAATGAACTATTATTGCTCATTCTATTTGGAGTGGCATATGTGAAGAAAACAATGCAGATCATAACTGTCCGGCTTGATCTTCTCAAAGATATTGCCATTTTATGTACACTGCCAATGCGGTTAGTGTTTGTGTTCTTAATTGATATTTATTCATTAGCCTACATCCTCATTATCTCCCAGCAATCACCGTATGATAAAGGTTCTTTATGGTTTTCTTTATACATACAGTAGATTCTGTCTTATGGACGCCACAAACCGCAATGGCTGTCAATGTTGGCACCTATGGACAGTTATTTGACACAATGCCTAAGTTCCTGTCTGCTATAATATTGATATACATGGGAAGCTGTTGATATGAAAAATTATTTTTATGCTAAGCTAATAATCTGTTTGCAAATTTGTTCTATTAGCCTTGCTTTACTATATGGCATATCTATGGTAATGTCTTTAAGAAATGGAACCCCAGGAATAGGTTTTATGGCCTTTCCAGCTTCCACTGGAGATTGTAGACAAACTCTTGACATGACGAGTTTCTAGACAGACGCTAATAACAGATGCGCTGATGTGCATGTTCATGTCTGTGTTGGGCGTTCCTTGAGTTTCTTCCTCAAATTATATTATCAGTCAACTAACGTGAGAATTATTTATAAGATCAAATTTGAATTTTAACGCCCATTTATAAAACTCATCTTTCATAATGCAATAACAGAGAATTTATCTATTTTCCCCTCCCCTTTCACTTATCGAAAATTTTATCAAAGGAATAGTTGTATTAAAATAAAAAAAATGTGTAATGAAAGGAAAGAGCTGAATGATTTAAGGATCATCTAGAGACCTACTAATTCAAATCATCTGTCGATTTTTTTGATTCTTGGCTTTCAGGAAAATTTTTCGTAACATGCTATTGATAATATGTTATTTGATTCTGACAACTTATGATTAATTCGATATAAACTATATGTTCTTACTGAAAAATAAAGGCCTTTCATGTTTAAAGTATTCTTAATATGATATAATACATTGATTGATTGATTGTATGTTGTTTTACGTCCCATTCGAGAATTTTCACTCATATAGAGACGTCACCATATACCGGTGAAGGGCTTCAAAGTTTGACCTTTACTCGGCACTTAGGGCCATTGAGCAGTGAGGGATCTTTATCGTGCCAACGCCTGCTGTGACACGGTGCCTCGGTTTTTAAGGTCTCATCCGAAGAACCCGCAACTTTCAACAATATAATGTATTATTACATGATTGAATAATTGCTTATTCTCTGATTGGCTGAGATCCAACATTGTAGAAAAAATACTATGTTATGTTCACTTGCACGTGACATGATGACATATTTTTTTCAATTTGTTCTTCATTGGACCAAGAATAGGTCGGGAAATTCCAAAATGGTGAAATGGATCTGGAAAATTGTTTCACTTGCACCCGTCTTCCACTCTGGTGAACACATATAATCGGGGTGGGGGATGGGGTGGACAGGGAGCCTGTCCCCTCTCCATACTTTTTTTTCTGAATGTTAATTTTTATTAATTTTTAATATAATATGAAATGTTCATTTAAGTTATTCCTAACATTATTCACTGAGAGGCTGATTCCCCTGTTAATTGACCTTACCGTTCCCACTACACCCTCCTCCAAAAATTGGAGTTTGGAGAATTCTACTATTTTTTAAGGGGGGGGGGGTCACAGATTTTTTGAATTTTCCCCTTATAATGTCCACCCCCAACCCCCCGTAAAATCAATTTTACGCGCCTGACATTCATTTTTTTCTACATTGCACCTAAAATAGATTTTAAAATTCCGGATTAATACAGGAATTTACAAGTCATGTTTATTTTAACACCGCTTCTCTCATTGGGTTTGACTAGGACTTCAGCCAGTGTAAACAAGTAAGATGATATGGATTGCTTAATCAGTTTGTCATTATCAACTGAATCATATAATAAAACAATTATTGCTGGGGTTTTTTTTAAGTCAATACGATGATTTAGTCACCTTCGATGTACAATATTGTACTCCTCAGGTGGCTAAATCATCGAATTGACCTCAAAACAGCAATAATTGTATAATATGATGATATAATATAATTAATGTAATATAATTTAATTAATATAAAGTTTTATAATAATATGACTTCACTGAAATGACGATACTTCCATGGGTCATTGACAGCAATATACAATGTATCATATTTTGATATCATTTCGATCTTGTCCCCCGCTTGGCGGTTAGAGCGTCTGCTCTAGAGTCGCGGAGCAAGGAGCTGATCCTTACATCGCGGGATCAAATCTAGTGTGGGACGAGGAGACCGGTCCTTCGGATGAGACCGTATAAACCGAGGTCCCGTGTCGCAGTAGGTGTTGGCACGAAGAAGATCCCTCACTGCTCAATGGCCCTGAGTGCCGAGTATAGGTTTGAATTTGCAGTCCTCCACCAGCAAGTGGTGGCGTCTCCATATGAGTTCCAATTTCAACATTTTGGAGCCCGATGACGTAGACCTTTAAAGTAAATCTTTGATTTAAGAACATGATACGAAGTTTTGGGTCATGGGGATGCGCCTTAACTTTTTAAATCCATTATAGTCAAAAGTTCTAAAGCGTGGACAAAGTTAAACTTGAGATTGCAGACCTCAAGTTCATTGTTCAAAAATATAGTATGGACACTATTTGGTGATAATTAAAGACTTAGCCAAGGAATACGTGTCCACCTATTTTGGGGCATAATATACCCACTCAACCATTTCACAATTCAATGAATGCTTCCTGTGACACAGAAAATTACAGTTAAGACATACAGAGTTCAACTGGATTGTTTTCAACCACTTCAGTGAGAAAAAAATCATTAGTATTTGTATAGTTATATAAAATTTCACCCTAGGTAGATAACTAAATAACTGCACCTGTAGATCATATGAAATTATTTAACTCTGTTTTATATAAAAAGGTTGAATTGCCAGGGGTGTGTGTTTTATGCCCTCTTCACATATTTGTATTGTTGATAGATTTCTTTGAGATTGATCACTGTCCCCTATCTTCACCTTTCACGTTCCATTTACTATTGTGATTTATTTTATGTAGTGATCTGAATTATAGTTGAAAACAATAGCTATATGCTATTGAAAATGTCCTAGAAAAATCTACTGGTTAAAAGTTTTGAAGTAAACAATCATATGTAAAGGAGAAAGGCCGAAAACTGTCCATTCTGTGAGAGAAAGAACTAATCGAGGGCCGTAGGCCCGAGATTAGTTCTTTCTCTCACAGAATGGACAGATTGAGGCCTTTCTCCTACTTAAAACATGATTTCCTTTGTTTTGAAAATTAAATATAAAATGTACAAAATGACAGGTAGCAAACATACAATGGCAAGTTCATTGTTTACGGAATGGACAGTCACAGGTAAGCTAGGGATGCAGAGCAATTTGTTGAATAGCCATTGTGTTTCCAGATGCAAATAACAAAAGGTTTTTGTCTTAAGAATGGACAGTTACAGGTGGATTTTGTGGGATACTAGTATTTATACAAGTATGCGATGCTTCAAAATCAGTTTACAGTTTGCATTGTAAAGGCATACATGTTTTCCTGTAATGGAGAGAGTATATGACAGAATCAAAATCTTATAAACCAAAATATGCACAAAATTAGTGATATTTGGATCTGGAAACAGAAAAGGAAGAGTAAAAGAAATATTAGCCAAATTTTGACCCAAAAATGAACTTCGACGACAGATATAGATGATCAAATTCAAATCAAACCTGGAAATGTTTTATTTGAATTCTATTTTTGGGGATATATTAACTGCAGCAGTGTAATGGTGAGATGCATATTGTGTTCTGAGTGCTGGATTAGCCATGAGCCAATCTTCGACCTGAAATGTTTTTCAAATCAAATCGGGAAATGTTTCATTTTTATTTATTTTCTACCGAAATATTAATTGCAGCAGTGTAGTGTTCATAGTGCAAACTGTTTCCTGGGTGGAGGATTTAATACTAGACGTACTTCTATCTGAAAATGAATTCTCCCCGAGGGAATGATTTTTCCGAAATTTAAATCAAATGTGAATTCGAAATTGTGTCATTTGAATTCAAGTTTTGTGAAAATTAAGTTTTGGGTATTGAAATAATGTGCATCATTCATGGATTTAAAAGAGTAAAATCGAGCGGATGCTGTGTAGACATTGTGTTCTGGAATAACTTTGGTCTCCGCGTTCTTTTTGTTATTTACATGTAAATTAAAAAGTATTTAGTATATTTGTTTTTGTTTCCCTCTTGAACACATTCCAAAGTTTAACTGTAACTCTCCATTCTCTTTGTTTTAACTGTCCATTCTTTTTGAAAAAAACTGTCCATTCTTAAAAGAATGGACAGTTTTCCAAAAAGAATGGACACTTACAGGTAACTTAATGGATTGTTTGAGGAGTTAGCTCAACATTAAGCTATAGAATGGACAATACAAACAAAAGGTTTACGTCACAATCATGTTTTAATGAATGTGAAACCAGAGGACAGAGGGTACCAAAACAAAATATTAATATTTATTATGTAGGTATTGTATTTCTGTTCAAAAACAAATATAAACTAGATACTGTTCTAACGGGACTAATACACACAGTCCGGACTTTAAAGATCTTTTGTCTGTCATACTCCAAAATTGGAGTAGAAACTTAAGAAATGTTTCCAAATGATGAAATATAAAGCCAATGGTACAAGACTTTAGAGCGGTTCTTTATGTGAAAGTATGTCAGCAGATTTTAATTTTCATTTCAAAAGGGAAAGAGGAAAAACCCTGTCAAAATTAAAATGCTAAATTACTATAAATTTAACGAAACATAATACATGTAGTATGCATCACGCTGAGATCAATTTTAGATTCGAATTCATTGTTTAGTTTTCTCTTTTTCTCCGTGTGTGATATGCACTGAGTTGTCCCCATTATCCCTGTCAGCTTTGCCAGGTTTCCAAATAAACATTCCAAAGATATCTTCGACAAATTACGGATGCTCAATCACAGAGCCTATAATGAGTAGATATGGGTCTTTATGGATAAATCTCTTTTTTGTTGCCAAAATGCAGAATTTCCCACTAGATCCATTCCGGAAGTCAAATACAATCTAGCACGTACATTCAGGAGGTATATAATTGACTTATCCGCTCATTAAGTTAAAAGAAATCAGAACTGACATTCTTTGTCTAGGTTTGTACGTCATCATCTTTAAATTGCCTGGAAAGAGCACAGGCAAAACATCCTTTATTTTTTTCTGCAACAGATAGACTTTGTAATCATTGATAATCTTCTAACAATTTCTTTATCGTTGGACATAGCATATTTATTTTTTTTAATGATTATTATGAGTTCGAGCGTAAAACCCTCTTTAAATGTTGCAAAATGTTTGACCCATGGTCGAAGGTTTACAGAGTTTAGGCTGCAGGGTCGGACTAAGTTGGTTTAACATTGTAAAAGCACTATATCTGTAAAACACAAGATGTGTTTGTGAAACACTGATGCCCCCGTATGGCAACTTATAGCAAAGGTTAAACTTTCTCAAATGCAATTCAAATATGTTTGTACCCAAAATAAGGTCTTGTCTCGAAGAATAAACTTGTGAAATATGAAAGCCCTAGCACCAACCACTGAATATATATGGAAAAGGTTAAAGTTTTTTTAAAAGTATGTCAAATATCAAGGTCAAGGTCAAATGGTCAAATTAATTGTGCCCAAGGAAAGGCCTTCTCCCAAGAAATACACATGTGAAGTATGAAAGCCGAAGCACCACTCGTTCAAAAGTTATGATCAAGGTTAAAGTTTTCTAAAAGTAGGTCAAACTCCAAGGTCAAGGTCAAAGGGTCAAAGTTGTTGGTATCCAAAGGAAGGTCTTGTCACAAGGATTACATATGTGAAATATGAAAGCTCTAGCAACAACCATTCAAAAGATATGGCTAAGGTTATAGTTTTTCAAAAGTAGGTCAAACTCCTAGGTCAAGTCCAAAAGGTCAAAGTTGTTGGTATCCAAAGGATGGTCTTGTCACAAGGATTACACTTGTGAAGTATGAAAGCCCTAGCACCAATTCTTCAAAAGTTATGGCCAAGATTAAAGTCTGGTAAAATTTTGCAAAACTAGGTCGAACTCCAAGGTCAAGGTCAAAAGGTAAAATATGGTGGCGCCAAAAGAAAGGTCTTGTCACAAGGAATACACTTGTGAAATATGAAATCCATAGCTCCAACCAATCAAAAGTTATGGGCAAGGTTAAAGTTTTTGCGGACAAACAGACAGACAGACGGGCGGACAGGGCAAAAACTATATACCCCCGAATCTTCGATAAAGGGACATAAAAAATCACTCCTGAGTATTTGAATTGCAATTATATGATTATAATGAGCAATGAGCTGTCCATAAAAGTTTTGAAATTGATGAAGCCTGTGTTCCTGGTTCAGGTTTAAAATTAAGACACAGCAAATTTGGTATTAATAAATGTAAATGTTATTTCAATACATGTACATGTATATGACCAACTTTGTCCCAACTGGTGCCTAAACCTTTGGCGTGGGGACAACTATAATTTATCTGTTTTTGAAGAGTGGTAATTTGATTTTTACAATTATGGAAAAAGTTTAGTTTTTAATTGTTCTTGAGTAGAAATGAAAATTTTCAAAGATGTAGCGTATTTTCAATTTATGACTTACTAAGCCTCACCCTGGAGCCTGAACCCTGAACCCAGAGGCTATGAATTTCCCAACTTTGGCAGAGTTAACTATAAACATGCCAGCAGTTTAATGACTATTTGGTCTTTAATACTTAAGATGGTTTTTGAAAACTGCATTAATTTTTATGATTTTGACCCCACCCTTAGCGTCCCCGAGGGAAGCAGAGACGCTAAAATTCACAGTTGTTGTTTCCCTTTACCCATACATGCTATATACCAAAATTAGTTGAAATGGGTTCACTTATTCCAGAGCAGAAGCTAAAAAAAATTTAAAATGTTAACGGCGCACGTTGAACGACGGATGAATTACGGATCATATTACGTCTTTTTATCTCGTTATCACGATTTTCTTAAGTCATAGTTTTTAGCTCTATTGAGTCGTAATATCGACTTTCTTAAGTCGTAATAAGGACTTTTTATCTCGTTATTATGAGTTTCTTGAGTCATGATAAAGGCTTTTTATCTCATTATAATTACGATTTTCTCAAGTCTTAATAACGACTTTTTATCTCGTTTCCAGGCTTTCGTAGAATTAATTGTCACTGGAAGGAAATTAGTCATAAAGCAATACAGGGTACTTATATGTAAAACACATGTACATATAGTGTATCATTAGATATTTAGAGAGAATGTCACTACTTCACGATATTCAGATGACCGTAAAGGTCAAGTGGTCTTTTTTGTCTGTCTCTCACAAGTATATTGGAAATCTTTTATTTACCCATGAGAAAAACTGTATGTCACATTGTTTTTAGGCAACGAAAGAGTAAATTTGGTGATTTTCACCATCGAATGTGTTTCACGTGAATTTGGTACATTATAAATCTAATTTATTTATAGTTTTTTTTTAAACTTAAAATTCATGAGAAATTAAAGTGAAAATTCAAATATGATTGTTTGCATGTGTGTGTTCCTTAAGATATATCATTAGTAAGACTATATATCTTCAGGAATTTATGAATTTCTTGAAGTCTTTGTTGCTTCATTCAAAATCTTGTTGACACGTCTCTTTGTCAGTCAGACGTAACCTGTGAAGCATAAAGTTAACTAGCGTGTTTCTTATTTCAGGGGCTTTCAAACTTTATGATTTAGATAATGATGGGTACATCACACGGCAAGAACTCCTCGATATAGTAGACGCTATATATAAGATGGTGGTAAGTACACTTGCACTTACACGAAGCCAAAAGAAATTACTACTGGAAAATTGTGTCTTATTGAATTTTTATTGAACATAAACATGATACACATGCGTTTAAATCCATACTCAAAGAGAATGTACAATCATGCTTATTTAGTACCAACAACGTATAAATACCATTTGAATTGAGAAGTAAAGAAACTTTTTGGACCTCGATTTAATGAAACAATGTGTAAATTTAATTATAACAAATGAAAGTTCATATATTATGTTATTTGTTATGAAAATGAATTTTAAACGCAACAAATACAATTAAGAAGATAATTGAAAACGTAGCATTTATATTTATGAAGAAATTATAAAATGAATAAGTTTCCTTATTTCATTATTATCAACGAAAACGACATATTGAAAGTGTATCAAGATACATGTGATAAACGTATTTTGAAATATTGTTATAAAAAGCTGATATTTTAACTACAAAAGAAAAAAAAATCTTATTACAGTGCCACAAGGACATTGTATGAAAAAAGTTTTATGGACTTAAAAAGTTCAAAACAATATTGTAATCATCATTGAATTTCAAATCATCTTTTGCCTCTTTTTAGAACCCAGTTTCTTTACATATAGTACAAAACAAAAACACCAATTTAGATGGTATTGCAATTTCATGTAGTTTAATTAATTGCAATTGACATAGTAAAAAAATTTAAGAACTCAAACTCAAGAAACAGAAGTCTAAAAATATTTTTGTATTTGAACTCTAGCAATATATTATTTTGAATTCACATATTAATAGCCGTACATTACGTAATGATAATAAATTCATAACGATCATTGAGATGGATTTAATGCCTGAAATATTATACGGATCAAATCGGAATTGAATTTCTACTTATTAATAGACTACATATGAACAGGGTTTAATCAAAGATAAAGCAAAACCATTTTCGTGATATATATATAATTAGATAAAAAAAAAAATAGCGAAAGATAATCAATCAGATTCGTTTACATTAACTGTAAAGTAAATAATGTATGTTGTTATAGGTGAATTAATGTTTATACATATTATCTGCTTTATTTAGAATCATATTCTGCTTGAAATAAGCAGCTTTCGACACCAAATGCTAAATGCCACAAAAATTGTAATGTTCTATCTGCACATGTACATATTTTGATTGGCCACCGTAGTGAATACTGTCATGAATTGCCGCTATTTGAGTGGATTGCTCTTCTATTTCTTTGTATCTTGTCAATGCCTCTATTTTTTTAGGGAAGTATGGTTAACCTTCCAGAAGAAGAAAACACACCGGAGAAAAGAGTAAATAAAATTTTTGACATTATGGATAAGGTGAGTACTGGATAATGTTCTAACAAGAGAAATAACTCAGTATTTTGTTGTATTAATTATAGATATTTTATAAATACTTCAATGTTTGCAAAATATCTCTAGATATAATACAGACTATACATACATGATGATGCATTTCAAGTTTTTTTTTTCTCCAGTACATATACTTGATATATACATGAACTAAATACTTTTTTTTACCTTTTGCAAATGCTTATGATAGAATACTAGTATCATTTAATTTAATCTTCTAGTCTTATCAATCCTTTTTTAAATTCCATTTTTGTACTTGTCATTCATTTTTATCTCTGCATAATATTTTTTTTTACTTATTTGAATATTTTTGATAGCAGACTCTGTAATAAATTTACATTCATGTCATTGCTTCACATTTATTGCTCCAAGGTAAATAATACTTCACTTAATTACAGAATCGAGATGATAAGCTCACCTTTGAGGAATTCTTAGAAGGCTCAAAGAAAGATCCCACCATCATCCAGGCCTTAACACTTTATGATATGGCACAACCTCAAGGTCAAGGTTAAATTCCATGGTGTAACATCATCTGTTAAAACAAAGACTATATGAAATTCTAAGGAACATTGAAGACATTCGTAATTTACACAACAACGAATGCAACACATATGTTTCATTTTATTTATATTCCTATATTTTTTATTCCAATCCAAAAATATCCATGACAAAACAATCAAGTCATTCTTATACATGTACACGTGTATCAACCGATGCCAGTCCTTTACTTACCCGCATTTAAAGGTAATTTTATTTCATTCCAGAATTTTCACTTGCAATGCAAAAAAGTAAATAGCAGTCTTATTCAAGAAACAGGAAATAAACGCGTTTAATTTGAATGTACCAAAAAAAAACCTTTACAAAAGTAATACTTAATCTTTTTCTGATGTGTTGTTAACTTTATGAATACATTAGACTGAAACCTACGTTCACAAATGATTGTTTTTCAGAGAATTGGTTTCTGTGTATTTTTCTTTATGCCTTGAAGTCCATCTCATTAGTTTCAAATAGTTATACGGCTTGAAAAGATGTACAATGAAGCAAACATCATTTTATTTTTATTTTTCTGTAAAAAAATATTCCAAAAGTAATGCAAATACATGTATCTTTGCACTGCACCAGGTGTGAATGTAGATTCAGTATATCATTCTTTGGTAAACCATAGAGGAATATACATTTATATGTGAAGCTCTTTTCGAGTAAATTGCAGAAATTTCGTAGAACAAATTGAACTTTTCATAACTTTTTTGATCATTTAGCCATCAACGTTGTTAATAAGCCTGTATAGAACTCTCTGAACAAATATATGAATTGCAAAGGTTGCACTGGCTTTTTTGTAGCTTTATTCAAGCCTAAATTCTTTTGCTTAAATTTTAGAATAAAAAGTACCTAAATGAGTATTTCTTTAAATTAAATACAATTAAACTTGGATGTAAAATTCTTTTTTCTCTTGTAGTAATGCTTACATTTTTCAAATACACTGTATTCAGTGAGCGAATTGCGTTTGCAGAATGAAACATTTTTTATTAAAGATATATTTAAAGTGTTAACTTATGATAAAGAAATAATTGCAATAGATAACGAGAAACGTATTGGCTGTGTCATTTCATGATAAAGGACCCAGTTTTACCAAATTCAAACTCACCGTAACTGAACGAGGATTGTTTTATAAAACCAGTGAAGTTTTGTACAATGTTAAGCAATAATTATACCCTTATGCAAGATACAGTATTTACATTGTTTGTTGTATGCATTTTACTTTAGTTACTGGTGTTGATGAAAACCTATCATTTCAATCATGTATATCATGATGATAGTACTAACTTCATGGAATACAATATGACATGTGATGAAATTTTAATATTATTTTGTAAAATAAATCCTCTCCAGATTTTATATCCGTATGTCAGTGTTGAATGCATGTGTAAAATATGGCGTAGATTGATTGTATGTTGTTTAATGTCCCATTCGAGAATTTTTCACTCATATAGATATGACGTAGAAGCAAATTGAGAGAATTGTGGTCTTCCGATTTCGGAATCTTATTGGTTGAGGTGCAGTTATAACTGTCTGTCCTATCTTGTCTGTCCATCGTACAAAAAAAGTTAAAATAAATTTTTGACTTGATAAACGTTACAGCCAATGTAAGAGTTTCTGAAAACTACATCAAACCTCAAGGTCAAGGTTACGAGGTCAAAAATCATAAAACATTCGAACAGGTCTTCTTAAAGGTAATGCACATGTAAATTATGAAAGTCTTGTTTCTTCAGATGGAAAAGCTATGGTCAAGGTTATATTTCGAGAAGTAGGTCAAAGGTCAAATCATGAGGTCAAAAGTCATGTTGTATTCTGAAAGGTCTTGTGACAGATACTGCATGAGTGAAAAATGAAAGCCTTGTAATTCCTCATTCAAAAGCTATTACCAATGTTATACATATAAGTCAAGGTAATGAGGTAAAAATTCATGGTACATTTGGAAAGATCTGGTCACAGGTAATGCATATGCGAAATTTGAAGGCCATTATGTATCTTCTCTTTTTCAAAAGTTATTACCAATGCTAATATTTTTAAAAAGTAGGTCAAACTTTAAGGTCATAGTAGATTAAAAAAAGTCTTAAGCCCTACGTTTCTCTCATTCAAAAGTTATGACCATTATTAATGTTTTTTGTGATGGACGAAAAGACAGAAAAACAAATAAGATTTAATGTTTCGCAAAAGCGATGAACAATAAAGCGAATTGTGTTAGGCTTATCTGTTGTCAGCCCGTGTCACCCTTAATTATAAAGAGAATGACAAGTCATAGCAAATCTTAAGTAGAGACTTGAATCTCTTTCACTTGTTTTTAAGATTTTATTTGCATTCAAGCAATACTGGGAATAAAATTTAAAAGGAATTAGAACAAATATTGAAAAAGAGTATTAATGTGAAACAAAAGGCGCTATAACGCGAAGTGAAAAGTTTTTATAAAGTCTTTCAAAACTATTTAAAATAGATTTTTAAAAGTATCTGAATTTTAAGTCTATGACCAAAGTATGTACCCAAGATACTTAAATTTTCATAACTTTTATAACTACTTTTATAGAGAGTAAAACACTTAATTAAAATCATTGAAACAGTAAAAAAGAAGAATTTCAAATGTACATTTTCAGCCTCACCCTAGGGCCTAGATTCTGGATGTGTCTAGCATGAATTTACAGATTTGGTTGATGACATTGCTCATTTAAATAATTTAAACGCTGTTTGGTTAAATGTCAAGGAAGAGGATTTCAAAGATGCAATATATTTTCAATGTATAAGCAACTAAGCCCTTCCATTATGCCAGATCTAGAATCCTGGACAAGTGGACATGGATTTCACAATTTTGAAGGAAGGATAATTGTTCATTAAACTCTTGCAAATAGTCTGCCTGCTTGATGTCCAAGAAAAAGAAACAAATTTCCAAATGTGAAACAGTATTAATTATATCAGCATTCAGCAGCCTCGTCCAACCTTGGAGCTAAATCCGAGACCTAGGAATCATGATTTTCGAAAGGTTGACTTCTCACTATACATGCAAACAGCTGTCTGCTAGATGTGCAGGATTATAGAAAAAAGTTTTTGAAATAGTGCATGAATTTAGATGGATTGTCCCATCCATGCATCAGTAGATGTTCATTTCATTATAAAATGCAGCTCATGGGACAGAGGTAGCAGTAACAAAATGATAATTTGTGTACTTTTTTGGTTAATTTGCTTTAATTCATACAATATGGGTGCATCCTTGGTATTGGCAAATAACAGCTAAAATGAGAAGTCTATAGCCATTAAGAACATTTGAATATCCTTCTCTTCAAGATAATGGATGTACCTAGATTGAAGACACCTTCACACCATGGTGCGTAACCATATGACCAAGAGTCACTAACCCCTGCATGGATACAAGTGGCCTACAGTTCTAATCTGAGTAACATTTTATCTTCCTGACAAATGGGTATGTAGATGAATAAAGCTCCTTTATGTGTCAAAAAACTTCAATTTTTACGATTTTAGATGCTTGCAATTAAAACAAAAGGCCCATGGGCCACAGCGCTCACCTGAGTAACTTTGGCCTTGCTGTTTTTCACCTGATTTCTCCCCCCTGTAGTTCTTATTGTGGCCCCGCCCTATCCCCGGGGGTCATGATTTGAACAATTGGAATCTACACTACCCCAGGATGCTTCCAGATAAGTTTCAGCTTATCTGGCCCAGCGGTTCCTGAGAAGAAGATTTTTAAAGATTTTTCCTATATATTTCAATGTAAAACTTGGATTCCCTATTGTGGCCCTGCCCTACCCCCGGAGTCATGATTTGAACAATTTAGAATCTACACTACGTACCCCAGGATGCTTCCAGATAAGTTTCAGCTTATCTGGCCCAGTGGTTCCTGAGAAGAAGATTTTTAAAGATTTTTCCTATATATTTCAATGTAAAACTTGGATTCCCTATTGTGGCCCCGCCCTACCCCCAGGGGTCATGATTTGAACAATTTAGAATCTACACTACCCCAGCATGCTTCCACATAAGTTTCAGCTTTTCTGGCCCAGTGGTTCTTGAGAAGAAGATTTTTAAAGATTTTTCCTATATATTTCAATGTAAAACTTGGATTCCCTATTATGGCCCCGCCCTACCCCCGGGGGTCGTGATTTGAACAATTTAAAATCTACACTACCCCAGAATGCTTCCACATAAGTTTCAGCTTTTCTGGCCCAGTGGTTCTTGAGAAGAAGATTTTTAAAGATTTTTCCTATATATTTCAATGTAAACCTTGGATTCCCTATTGTGGCCCCACCCTACCCCCGGGGGTCATGATTTGAACAATTTAGAATCTACACTACCTCAGCATGCTTCCACATAAGTTTCAGCTTTTCTGGCCCAATGGTTCTTGAGAAGAAGATTTTTAAAGATTTTTCCTATATATTTCAATGTAAAACTTGGATTCCCTATTATGGCCCCGCCCTACCCCCGGGGGTCATGATTTGAACAATTTAAAATCTACACTACCCTAGAATGCTTCCACATAAGTTTCAACTTTTCTGGCCCAGTAGTTCTTGAGAAGAAGATTTTTTAATGACCCCACCCAATTTTTGTATTTTCTTGATTATCTCCCCTTTGAAGAGGACTTGGCCCTTCATTTTAAAAATTTAAACACCCCTTCACCCAAGGTTGCTTTGTACCAAGTTTGGTTAAAATTGGCCCAGTGGTTCTTGATGAGAAGTCGAAAATGTGAAAAGTTTACAGACGGACGGACAGACGGACGGACAGACGGACGGACGACGGACAACGGGTGATCAGAAAAGCTCACTTGAGCTTTCAGCTCAGGTGAGCTAAAAAATTGAATTTTTAGACACCCTTAACTTCCGTCTTTACTTTTTACACGTACATGTAATTTTAATGTTTCCAGATGCCAAAAAATAAAACAGACTGAAATGTGCATTTTTTGGGGGAGAAAGCCTCGAAAGATTTTTGTGTTATATTCCTACGTCAAACTTCCGAACACTCATTGTAACCAAACTGAGCATTATTTGGACAAACTTGAATCGACACGATTTCAAACAAGAGGCCCATGGGCCACAACGCTACCTGAGTTACTTAGGCTTTGCTCTTCACTAGACCCCCCTCCCTTGTAATACTTATTGCGGCCCCGCCCTACCCCGGGGGCCATGATTTGAACAATTTAGAATCTACACTACCCCAGGATGCTTCCACATATGTTTCAGCTTTTCTGGTCCAGTGGTTCTTGAGAAGAAGATTTTTGAAGATTTTGCCTGTATATTTCAATGTAAAACATTGATTCCCTATTGTGGCCCCGCCCTACCCCCGGGGGACATGATTTGAACAATTAGAATCTACACTACCCCAGGATGCTTCCACATAAGTTTCAGCTTTCCTGGCCCAGTGGTTCTTGAGAAGAAGATTTTTAAAGATTTTGTCTATATATTTCAATGTAAAACTTTGATTCCCTATTGTGGCCTCGCCCTATCCCCGGGGGCCATAATTTGAAAAAATTTAGAATTTACACTACCCCAAGGATGCTTCCATATAAGTTTCAGCTTTTCTGGCTCAGTGGTTCTTGAGAGGAAGATTTTCTAATGACCCCACCCTATTTTTGTCTTTTCTTGATTATCTCCCCTTGAAAGGGGGTTGGCCCTTTATTTTAACAATTTAAACTCACCTCCATCCAAGGATGCTCTGTACCAACTTTGGTTAAAATTGGTCAGTGGTTCTTGAGAAGAAGATGAAAATGTGAAAAGTTTACAGACGGACGGACAGCTAGACAGACGGACGGACGACGGACTACAGGTGATCAGAAAAGCTCACTTGAGCTTTCAGCTCAGGTGAGCTAAAAAGGCTTTCTTATAATTTTTTTCTTGTTACTGTAATTTTTTAGGTAAATAGTTTTATTGGACCCTAATCATTTAAAATACTTGATGAGGGACATAGTCTTTCATTTGAACAAACTTTAATCTCTTTTTACACAGATATATTTTTCATTTGTATGGCTATAATTGGTTGTTCACTTGTGTCACTTCTCACCTAGATAACAATAGTTGTCGTTTGGATTGCTGCTGAAGGTTATCAAGGACGATCCCAAGAAAACATAGCTTTAGCACAGGCAAGATCTATTTATGAGTTTGCCTTATTTGTTTGTAATCAACACCATGCTTGACTTTGGAACAACTGGAAGGTCCAGCCACTGGGCATTTAATTTGCACCTGGCAATACAGTAAAACTTGTCTAATCCGGCGACCAGTGGTTCCAAAATTTTTGGCCGGATTAGACATCATCCGGATTGGAGAACATTGAACCATTATAGCAAGTTAAAAATTACATAGATATAAACAGAGAGTGGTAAATAAATACTTGATCAAATGTGTCATTTTTTACGTTTCACTTGAAAAAAAAATCGTCTATTTCCGTTTGTTTTAAACTCTGTTTGTTCTTCAGAATTTTCATTTCTGTTTAAGTTTTTTATTCAGTAACGAAATATAATATCTCTTGGTCATTTATTAAATTTGAAAATCGTTAAATGTTTTAAACACACTCCAAAACCTCATCGTAGCTGTAAATATTATTTTGTTAGGGACAGATTCCTAATTAATTTCTTTCTTTTAAAATTAATATGATTGAATATTTAGACACTTCAAATGTTATAATGAATATTGAACCAAAATCTTCTGTCGTTATGGTCGTTGTAAACTAGCGACACAAAGGGAAGTAATTCTAATTGCACGTCGTGCACACAAAACGAAAGTAGAAAGGAGGTCATGAACAAGTCTCCAAGTTTTTCTACAGACATGCTATACGCAGCCATCACTATTACTCGTTCTTTTGCGAGTTAATTTCTCGCCTTTAATCACGTTTGTTAAAATCTAAACTGTCGATACCGATAGATCATTAACGGGACAATAATTACCCCACGCGAGACTTCTCTAATGACCAGCGGGCACAGGTAAAAATAAGTGGCCGGATTAGAGGAGATAATTTGTACTAATTATGAGCAGTTAGTTCTTTAAAAAGCAGCCGGTTTACAGAATGGGCAAGATCCGGATTGAACAACATTTATTAAACATAAATTATAAAGGAAATTCAGGGGACTAAAATATTACGCCGGACTGAACAACATGCCGGAATACACAACATCCGGATTCAACAAGTTTTACTGTATATAGTAATAAAGGTCCGGGATATGTAAACACAATGCATGTCAATCTAAAGTGAAAACCAAGACGACATAATCGTGTGATTTAAAACGACCATGCTTTAAAAGATTTTGAAATTATATTAAAAATACAGTTAATTATCTATTCATGCTAACACCAGAATCTAACATTCAACAGATCTGGTTGCAGAGAAAATACTCAATACTTATACTTTTTAGTAAGAATAAACAAGTGATTATATCTAAATTTATTATAACTAAACATGCGATTCGAACCATACTGCACTACTACAGAAGGATTGTACTTTGTAAAATTGGCTTAAAGAGTACAAAGTGTGACTGTAAAACTTCCTCTGGCAAAGTATCAAAGTAACACACAGAAAATGATTAATATAAACAATGAAATGAACTATTCATGATATTCAAACTACAAAAATAGGTCAACTATCCAAAGCTACAATGGAGGAATGCAAGCAGTAAAACAGATTGGTAGAGTACAAAACGAAGAGAGTCAAAGGATTTCTGGCAAGAGTTAGTGTTAGATATTTTCCTTTTCCTCGATACAACTGGGGACACTGGGTAATCAGAAAATTTGTTTTTAATAACTCTTGACTTCATGTTTTGACTTTTTGGAGTATCTGCAACTTTTTCAATTTTGTCAGCAGCTGTTGGAGTAGGATTTAGTATTGCTTTCTTTGTCGTGATTGATTTTTGTGCGGTTACTTGTTTTTGCGTTCCTGTTGATTTCATTGATGTTGTTGTCGGTTTTTGCGCTGTCGTTGTCTGCTCTGAGATATACTTTGTCGTTGATGTCGGGTTCATGAAACTTTTAATTTGGTTCTGTAATATTAACTCTGGTTTCTGTGTTCCTGTTAGTTTATATGTTGGTGTTTGTTTGTTTGGTGTCGGTTTCTGTGTTCCTGTTAGATTATATGTTGGTATTTGTTCCTTTGGTGTCGGTTTCTGTGTTCCTGTCAGATTATGTGTTGGCGTTTGGTTCTTTGGTGTCGGTTTCTGTGTTCCTGTTAGATTATGTATTAGTGCTTCTTTCTTTGGCGTCGTTTTCTGCGATTTTGTTTTCTCCGATACCGATGTGGTTAATTTTTGCTCTATTGTTGATCTTTTTGATATTATTGTAAGTGCTTCTGATGTTGTTGGTTTCCGTGACGCTACTTCTGTTTCGTGACTAGTTATTTTCTGCTCTGTTTTTTGCCTTGACTTCGTTGTTTTTGATAATGTTGATTCTGGATTTTTTGTTTCTCTAAGTTCTGACACTGTACGAACTGTTGTTGTGGATTTTGGAATTATATGTGTTGTTCGTATTTGTGGTTGTGACGCTGTTGAATCTGACTTTAAGTTTGTAGTCGTCAACGGTGGCATTGTCGAACCTGAATTATAAAATGCATACTAAATGACAAAATAAAATGTAGAATTATGTGGTCCATGTTCCTTTTTACTAATACTTGACTTTTATATGCCGAACAATTTCTAAGATATGGACTTACTGGCATTATAATTCCATTCTTTCATTACTGAATCACTGTTATCTTTTTTATAGATATACATGGCCGGACTTTCGATATGATAGATTTGTTTTGTGTATGTTGGTTGCGTCATGACATCTCTTCGTCTACGTCCTGCAATAGTAGAGTTGCAGCTTCTGTCACACTCTGCCGTCTTCTCTGACAACAAACAAACGAAAGCTTTACAATGCAGGTATACCAGCTCAAACTGGGCAAATTTGCAGGCTTTGTAACGAAACCCTGAGGAGGTTGTATTCCACGGGAAGAATCCAAGGGTTGCGTCACATTGACATCTGTAAAGAAATTCGATGTTTTTGTATTCAAACTCATATGCAATAATATATCGAGACCAAGAATAGAACGGTTATTAAAATTAACAACAAGAGGCCCAGGGGCCACATCGCTCACCTGAGCACTATGGCTAGGAAAAAGCAGAAATCAGTTCAGTCTTGAAAGGTTGAAAAGTTTAAATATAAAAGTGGTTCGGGGGGGGGGGGGGTCATGAATTGAACAAATTTGAATCTACATTATCTGAGGGTGCTTCCATTTAAATATGACCAATCATGGCTTTGCTGTTCTTGAGTAGAAGATTTTTAAAGATTTAACCTATGTATTCCTATGTAAAACTTTGATCGCCCATTGTGGCCCCACCGGACCCCCAGGAGTCATGTTTGAACAAACTTGAATCTACACTATCTAAGAATGCTTCCATATAAATATGACCAATCATGGCTTTACTGTTCTTAAGAAATCGTTTTTTTTAAAGATTTTTACTATGTGTTCCTATGTAAAACTTTGATCGCCCATTGTGGCCCCACCCAACCCCCGGGGGTCATGATTTGAACAAAATTGAATCTACACTATCTGAGGATGCTTCCATATAAATATGACCAATCATGGCTTTGCTGTTCTTGAGAAGAAGATTTTTAAAGATTTTTCCTATATATTCCTATGTAAAATTTTGATCGCCCATTGTGGCCCCACCGGACCCCCGGGGGTCATGATTTGAACAACTTTAATCTACACTACCTGAGGATGCTTCCACATAAGTTTCATATTTTCAAGCACAGTGGTTCTTGAGAAGAAGATTTTTTAATGATGCCATTAATTTTTCACGAATTCTTAATTATCTCCCCTTGGAAGAAGGCGTGGCCCCTCATTTGAACAAACTTGAATCCCCTTTACCCAAGGATACTTTGTGGCAAGTTTGGTTGAAATTGGCCCAGTGGTTCTGGAGAAGAAGTTGAAAATGTGAAAAGTTTACAGACGGACAGACAGACAGACGGACTACAGACAAAATGTGATCAGAAAAGCTCACTTGAGCCTTTGGCTCAGGTGAGCTAAAAACGAAATATTGTGTTTCAGCCATTTCACTTGCAGGACAGAGTGCATATCTTGAATATGAATAACCGAAAACTGGCTGACAGCAGACACGTATTTTATCAGCACACAGAAAACAATGGTTCTATAATCAAACTGTATATTAATATTATCTTTCAAGAAATTATGCATGACTGGAAACAAATTATTTTTTCTAATAGGAAAAATGCATTGTTGATTAGAAGGGACGTATTCATTTTTTATAATTCAGCCAACAGCATTTTTGAGTTGTCATATATTTTAATCTTTAATTTGTATTTCATTAAGCAATTAGGGGGGGGGGGGGCATTTAGACAAAAACAAAATAAAACATATTTAAAACTCCATACGGGTTTGGTCTGATTTCAAATTTTTATTATCAAGGATAAATTTCTAGCTTTTATAATTATTATTATTGATTTTGCATTACTCAAGCAATTGTTAATTTCTATGACTTAGCTCACAAATGTATTAATCATTTTCACATTGACGCAAACTACACTGACTTGTTTTTAAACAATGGATGGTTGGTGGGGTCTGTATATGAAGTAGATGGTGTGGCCACACATTCAGGGACTATCAGCTTAAGGTTTTGGTCGACGTTTTCCAAAGTGAGAGAGACATATAGCCATTCTCCAAGAGTCAGATTCAGTGGGTAATTTGATACAGGACTTATAAATGAGTTGTTCCTGAAAAAGTCCATTCTGATTCGATACATTCCAGGAGCATTATGCGTAGCACTCTCTATCAGGGGTCGCATTTCTTTATATGCATACAAATCTCGAGGGAACTCGCACGAGACTTCGATTCTGTAGCTCACACAAATAATATTCGCTTTGGTTGAATTGTAGTCGCTGTTTCCACATAGACTGTTCCCATTGGTTGAATTATATTCATACTGAATTACATTGGTGTAGATGATGTGCGATTCATTTGACTGAAAAAGTAAATTTTAAATCCCCCTTAGATACTCACTTTTTACTATAACTAATATAACTGCTTTCTGTACTTCAAAAGAATTACACCTGTTACAACGAAACTGATTTCTTAAAGAAACATTACAACTTAGTGTTACCGTTGTTAAGGTGCCGCATTCGTCAAAAGGTATACTAATAGACACAAAGTTAGCACCTGTTGCTTTGATAGGGTAACAAGGACCTGACGTCTGGTTAAATATCCACAGAAACTTCTCTTCTAAATATCTATCATCCTTACGACTAAAAGAAGCCTTGATATGTCCATCTGAGCAATCTAAGGTTGGGGTGGGGGCTGCAAAAATAAATTACTTTGCTGCAAAAAGGTAAATGTTAATCCAATCCTTGTCTTTAACTTACTGGAGAGAGACTATACATTTAAACTGGGATTGAAAAAGAAAATGCTTTTATTAGAGACAAATCTATTTGAAATCTGAGAGAGAGAGAGAGAGAGAGTATTTTACGAGCTGGTGCTGAGTTGTTTAAATTGGTGCAGGTCACACTGGCATATTCATAAGGTGCCAGGCAGTCAATGGCTGCTCCAGTTGTAAATCTGCAGTCCCTGAGACTGTTCTCGTTACCTTGACAAACTACGTCATCCAGAGCAAAGGTAGAACTAACGTTCGGACGGACGTAGTTAATTTCGATGACTGAACCAGCCCGGGCCATCACAGGACTAAGAGAAAACAAAAAATAAACGGATCTGTTTTCTGTTTTTGAAATCCACTAAGCTGTTTACAATATCGAATATATATATAATTATAATTATATACGAAGAGTAATCAAAAAGTTCGCGAACTAATTGAATAACTTCCATAAAAGAAATCAAAATGGGTTTCAGTGTTTATTCTTCATTAAAGTAGGCCCCTCCGGTTTTATTACACATATGCCACCGTTCTGAAAATGCACGAAACACGTGGTCCAGGCAGTCAAGTGACATGTTTCGTAGCGTACTGTACACAGCAAGCAAATGATTTTTCCCGGGTCTTATATTTCCTACCGAATGTTATTATTTCCTATGTTATTATTTTTTTTTTATAAAAAAATTATCCCATATGCCACATATTGTTAAGTCTCGACCATACGATGCATGGTGGGATTAGGAATTTTTTTTCCCAGTGAGAACATGGTGTCCATCACAAGCTAGCCGATTTATCTGTCTTGGATGCGTTCAATGTGGATTAAGTGTGGGCGCTTTTCCCTTTATCATATCTGATCTGCTAACAGTCTAAAGTAACTGAAATTTTAGGAGATTAAGAATAAGTTTATTGTTAATATATGCAATTATTTCTCTAACTGTGACTCGGTCATCTTTTATTTCAAATTGCTCAACTAAGGACACATCTCTTTCCCAACTCACTTTCACTGGGCATCAGAACGAATATCATTTTTAATCATCTCCCTTCCTTCATTTAAACAATTCATCCAATTACTAATTGAACTTTTGGCAAGTCCTTTTTATCTTTAAACTTCGTACAAGTCATCATGTATAAGTGCAAAGGATTTTCCAAGTTTTACGAAAAAGTTTACACCTGTTCCTTGTCATCTACATATTGACGTCATTTTTACATTGTGACGTCATAAAAATGGAGCAAAAATAGTACTTAATACATGCTATTTATAGAACATGTTCATAACTATATATAAATGCCAACTTTCATTCTGATTTGAGTTGTGGTTAAGTAGACACAGAGATAATTCACGAACTTTTTGATCACCCCTCGTCTATGTATGACAAAGCTATAAAGGTATAAATGAAAAGGATTTTTTGGATAACGAAAATTACTTTTTGTGCATATCTTTTCGAGAAATCATAGTTGCAGACTGTAATTGCATACACATTGAATAAGACCTATCAACGTTTAACAATTCATATATTTTAAGCACGTTTGGGCAATACTTGCTCAAAACACAGCATATTGCAGATCACCCGAGCGTCATTTGTTCCCCAAAGGTCATCGCAGACTGCACTCCACTGATTATTATAGTATACCTCCACAAAGCCAAGCCCTTTCTGGTTATCAGGACCTACAATCCGCACATCCCATTGTTGTGGGGCTGCCGGGGCTGGAATTACAAAACAAAAAGACAAGTTTGTGCAATGTAACCCAAAATGTTGTTTGAGTGTCAAAATTTACTGAAGCAAAGATGTCTTCCTATGTGGTGTAAAGCAAAGAGTGGTATATTCATACGGGTATTTTTGTTCTCTAAATTACATCGAAATTACATCATTGATGTTTTCGTTGTTACAAACCGTGCAATTATTTAAATGATAAAATATTTTCTTTGTATCTTTAAACATGGATAAACGTATGCGGTTGTGTATATATAGTGTTCCCAGAAATTATTGAGAATTTTTTCGTGAAATTTTTTTTCTTCAAAATATTCTAAAAATAAAATCTTCATAGTTTGAAATCATTTTTTTTTTTATCAAATGACAATACTTGCTACTTTCTTATTTTATATGCAGTTTTCATGGCTAACTTCCGTTTTTTTTAATACTCTGGTCTTTTGCTAATGTTCGAAATGAGTGCTTTTGAAAACAAGAAAGCCTATTGTAGATGTTTATTATCAAAGAATGGCAAAACTTTTGATTCACGTGGGACAAAATATTTAAAAATGGAAAGGAATTCGGCAGAGCGAAAGAGCTGGTAGGGCTAGGAATGAAACCCCTCTTTTCTGCACTTAGTGTTGTTCTTACTGAGCAAATATCCAAGCAGTCTTTGATATGTGAATGTTAGTTTAGTAGGCCTACAAACTCTTTTCCTTCACTGATTTTTTAAAAAATATTCTGTACCACACAATACAAAGTAGACAGTGAAATACTCGATGTTTCAGAAATATCACTCGATTTAACAATGTCTCACTAATACATAGCTTGAATAGGCTTTCTATTTTTGATAGCAGTAAATATGAACATCAGCAGACAACAGGAAATATATAAAATAAATGGGAGGCTATCCATGAAAACTGATATATCATTAGAAAGTACGGGATATTATCATGAAATAAAATAGGAACATTGAATTATATTATTTGTTATTAATCCAACATTTTAAATAAATGTAGATCGTAAAAAATTCTCATTAATTTCTGGGAACACTATATTTTTGCAACGATTGTAGCTGTTCATCCCCGTATGAACAAAGAAGGTCATTTTATTGTTTTTATTTATAATTGTCCTTAAATTATTCATTTTAAGTTGGTGAAAGCATAAAATATTATATTATCGATACTAAGGTACATTGACAAAAGATCCATGAAACAGTTACCATTTCTTAAAAATCTTTTAGGTGGCTTTTAGATGGCTTTAAAAAAATCGGATCTAGAAAAAGGATAGATACTAGAAAAATATTAGTGGTAAAATTACTACAAAACTTCGATAAACGTGATGACTTCAACTTTTTTATCGTCAACTTCCCTTATTTTTATAGCAAAATAACATTATCTCCTGCGTATGGAGTTTATGTCTCCCAGTTGATTCGATACGCAAGAACAATCATGTTCTACGTACAACAATTTTTAAATGAGGTAAGCCATTGACAGATAATTTGATGATACAAGGATATCAACAGTATCGTTTAATGTCAACATTTTGCAAATTCTATGGTTGATACAATGACCTTGTTAGCAAATGTTATATATCGTAATGTCGAATGTTGACTGATATTTTTCATAAAAATTGTTAGGCTTATTTGCACACTGAATTGTCTACGGATTTTTCCGTTTGCCCGATCAAGACAAGTAGCACACGGCGGGCATGACCGGTCAACAGGGGATGCTTACTCTTCCATGGACCTGATCCCACCTCTGATGTTTTTAGAGGTCCGTGTTTGCTCTGCTTCCAATTTGTATTGTTCCAATGGACTTATGAGCTTGATTACTGTTATTATCTTCATGTTTCACGCTTAGGACATGTGCTTTAACAATTTTTTACTGTGAGATCTAACAACTTTATACATAAAGGGTATTCTTGTATTTTTTGCAGGAAAAAATAAATCTTGAACATAGTGAAATTAAAGCCACCCTGTCAATTTCCTTATCTACAGTATTTAGTTAAGAAGTGATTGTGTTTATTGATTGATCAACAACAATCGATTTTGATAAGAAATAAATAAAATATTCAGTGGATAGTAACGTTGGCAATTACATGTAAAACTTTCCTTTGTTCTCACAGTGTAAAATTCACGTATAACAATCCGATATTACGTGTAAGTTCTACCATATATTAGCATAGTATAGTTTTGATATCGTTTTAAACATCACAACAGTTTGGCCCGATAGCTTCAATATTTTCATAAGAAAAAAATAATTGAACAAACTAATCTGAGAATCTTGGTATGTGAATTTTCCTCAAAGATTTAAGGTGAATTTTTCAAAAAAATATTTCCATTATTGTAACATTTAGTAGATGCGCATTAAATTTAAAAATGTGTTCAAAGTTTTAAATGTATACATTGTCATATGTTTGGGTAACAAAAAAAAATGAATACAATAACCCTTACCTTTCAAACAAAAAAATTGATGTTTTCACAAAGCTTAACTTTTAAATTGAAATACATAGCACTGGAAGGAATATCCCTTCAACCTGACTACTTGGCTCTTTCAAATTTCTTTATGACTTAGTGGACGTTTTCATTAATTACCATCTTTTCTGCTCATTGTGCGCAAGAAAGATGGTAAATAAATTCGGTCTCTAATGTTGGTCTTTCTCATATGAATGTTGTCATCAGTGATCATGGTTTGATAAGATTTTCTGCCAATTACAATTGAACCTCTGTCGAATATTTACATGTCGGATGGTACTATTCACGTATCCATTACTTGTTGCATTTTCTATTGTTTTACGCAAAAGTTTAAAGAGATATAGTTTCTTATAATTTCTTTTACATGTTCAGTATTACAAGCTGTACGATTCCATTAATTTTGAAATACTTGTGCATTATTGCTTTCTAAATATTTGAGCTGTATATTAAGTTGGTTTTCACATATAGTTTCTCTACAAGATATATACTGTATGACTAAATTGCTGTACAATTAACCACTTTTAAGATATATCTGAGATTAAGGTTTTGTGGATAGCGTCATTTGCTGTGCATTGACAGTGCTATTACTTTCTTATACCATTGTGTGCTCATGGACTATTTGCTGCTGACTGATAAAAATTCTTTACCCACTTGGTGTATTTTGCAGTTGACCGTGATATTATTCCCTTGTACAATTGTTTGCTCTTGGACTATTTGCTGTTGACTGACAAAAATTCTTTACTCACTTGTGTATTTTGCAGTTGATATTGATATTACACCTTTGTGCAATTGTTTGGTCATTGACCTTTTGTTGTTGATAAAAATATATTTTACTCACTTGATGTTTTTTGCAATTGACGATGTTTTTACTCCCTGGTATAATTATTTGACCATGGACTATTTGTTGTTGCCTGACAAATATATTTTACCTACTTGTTGTACAGTTGTTCGGTTGGACGGTGGGCGGTGCACCAGTACTTGGTGTCCGGCACTGGACCCCCACGTCCTCTTCGTGTTTACAGTTGGTCACACCCCAAGCACAAAACTGACACTGACCAAGGTGTCTTTCTGTGCCATCACATACCAAATCATCTATCCATATTTGGCCTTGACCAAAGCCAAAGGTCCCACTTGGCATGACAGTTCCTCCTTGGCTGTAAAATTTAAATAGTCTTTTAACAATAATAACATTGCCTTTCTTTAAAGGCAAAACAGTATATCTTCTCAAAATTATAAACAGAATTTAAAATAAAATTTGACATCTTAAATGTTTATGTTTCATAATTATATAGTTTAACGTAAAGAATTATTTTTTTATCTGCACTGTTATGTTCCTTGTAAAATTTAGTAATGATTTCAAATTAAATTCAACAAACCCCTTTGCTAACTGTACTTTTTCCATCTGCTTACTGGCATTTCAGTAAAAAACCCCAATAATTTGTGACGGTCAGAGTGATTTATTTTTAGTCATTTCATTTTCAACGCAACTCAAAGTCCGAGACTTTATCTCTCACAAAGTATAAAACGTAGAGTAACTGAAGTGGACCCGGTTGCTCTGTCAATGAATTGATTTACTCAGATTTTGTTCATCTAAAAAGAACCTACATTTTAATGCTCCTTAGCAAACACATATGACTGGACAAGTTTAAGAGAAACTTCGAAGGGGTCGCGCATTTGACATAACCATATTTTGTTACCAGCAGGTTATACACCTTCAACAGGTATTCGTGTAAGCTTTCTATTCCCTTTACAAATGTTCTGAGGTAAAATACAGAGACTATGAATCATCTGTTTGTTAGATATTTTTTGTAAATCTCTAAAAACGATTAATCACGCAAGGACAAGACAGCTGTATGGACTAGAATGTTATTAGTTTTATCATGGATCAAGTATATCCATAAAAATAAGGCTATGTTTTAAACTTTGGATATTTTTATGCCCCCGTAATCGAAGATTCGGGGGCAAATAGTCCTTCCGTCTGTCTGTCTGTCTGTCTTTCTGTCTGTCTGCCTGTTTCTCCACAAAAGCTTTTACCTTGCCCATACCCTTTGATTGGTTCGTTGGAGGTATGACTTTCATATTTCACATGCGTATTCTTTGTGACAAGACCTTTCTTTGGGTACCAACATATTTGACATTTTGACCTTGACTTTGGAGTTTGACTAACTTTTGCAAAATTTTACCAAAATTTAACCTTGGATAAACTTTTGAACAGTTGGTAGTAGGGCTTTCATACTTCACATGTTTAATCCTTGTGGAAAGACCTTCTTTTGGATACCAACGACTTTGACCCTTTAATTTGACCTTAACCTGGGAGTTTGACCTACTTCGGAAAAACTTTCACCTTTTCAATAACTTTTGATTGGTTGGAGTTATGGCTTTCATATTTCAGAGTTATATTCCTCGAGACAAGACCTTACTTTGGGCACCAATTTATTTGATTTGCTTTAGAGAAAGTTTAATCTTCGCCAAAAGTTGCCATACGGGGGCATCAGTGTTTCACAAACATATCTTGTTTTTTACTAAAAGTTTTAAATCGATTATAAAAGAGCAAGAGCCACTAAGGGCCTTTTTTTGGCCCTGAGAATATCTGAAAAATCGAAACTGCTCAGTTTTGGTTGAAAATGCAGTATTTATAGCTTGGATACTTGGTGACCGTGTATCTATTGAACATGACGTAATTTTCTCTCTAGTCAATGCATTATGACGTCATGAAATGCGTCATTTTCCCCATATCCTGTAAATTCCCTTAGAAATGGCCAAAAGTTGACTTTTTTTTCCCAATATTTCATATAGAGCACAACCTCTGATCCAAAATATGCAATTACATAATGAAAGATCTGTTTCTGAAGATTACAAAACATGTTTTAATTTTTGGATCGTGGGCTGTGCCCAAGTTTTAATTCTTTGTTGAAGGTAGTCAAATACGCATGTTTTCTGCAAAATTCAAGAACATTGCATTTTCTCAAAGCCTGTTTTCAAATACCTGGTTTCTCAAAAAGAAATTTTGCTATAGGAAATAAAAGCACTAAGTCTCTACTTTATTTTGATATATGAAGGGTGATAGTCAATTAATTGATATAAGGACAGGGCCATTTTATGCATAAAGTGAACCTAGCTCTTTGGTTTGCTTTCTGTTATATTATCGAGGTGTACCGTAGAACTGATATATTTTTAAAGCAGACCACAATACTCCAAGTATTAGTTTCCAAGGAATAGTTTCAGAGATACTAATACATATTAGCTTACTGTAAATAGATTTGCGCGTTACCTTAGAGCAACACATCTTTTTAGCAGAAGAATTTGGGCTTGGACAAAACTTTAATAAACCAGAAATTCAAAAAATAAAAATGAATCTCTGTCCAAAAATATCCTTTAAATGCGTATTTTCAATAAAATGAGTTCGATTTGGGACAAAGGATCTGCTTTTCAGTGAGATAAGAAAGGTGGCGTTCTAACAAATGATATTATCAGAAAAACCAAGGATTCGAGGAACGAAGTTATTTACATAACTTAATCGAAGAAATTCATCAATCAATGCATTATAAAGTTTTTTTTTCAGTTTAAAAAAAGTTTCCTGATATTCTTTTTTTTTGGGGGGGGGGGAGGGAAGAATACTTACAGTCCCTGCATTTTACATACAACCTCTGCTTCCTCTGTCCCAAATTTATCATCACATACTGTGCCCCATATTCCATTATGGAGAACCTCCACTCTACCCTGGTAAGGAGAAGCTCCAATTCCACTGAATCGCAAAGGGAATTGGCCGGTAATTTCTGTAATTATATAACACATATTTGATTAAAAATATTGAAAAAAAATTGCTTGTCATCATTTTCATTCAGATATGAAAATGCAAGCTGTGTAAACTTACAACAATTTGATTGTTAACGTTAAAATTCTACTCAGAGATACAACTTGACTTTGTAAAAAATTCAAACAATTTTCAGACTTATCATTGTTTTATAATGTTTAAAAATTGGAGTTACCTGTAGATAAGGAAAAGACAAGCGCAAGCAGAATTAGTCCCAGGGTATGTGCATTCATTTTTGGCAACTTAAGAAGAAGAAAACAAAAAACGCGGCAAGTATCTGTAATAACTTGTTCATCAGCCTTCATTTAAGGATTGTACTTTGTTGCAATGAACATGCGCAGTAAAAGAAACCGAAATTTATTCCCTTCATTTTCAATTTCATGTAAATATTTAAATTTGATGGATTTGTGCACGTTCCTATATGCACAGTAAAGAAGAAATACTTTGCTTCATATTTAATTTCATATAAATGATTTATTAGAGTTAATTTCGGGAATCATTGTCAAGTATTGTTGGGTATGTCAGATCATTAAAAGCAATTGGAAACGTAAGAGAATATGCAAAAAGGCGAAGCCTATATCCAGTTTTTGGTATAAAACAATCAAACCTTTATTAAAATAAAAGATTGTAAGGCTTCAATCAAAGATATTTTGATAATTCCTCTACAGACCCCATTTGTTCCATTTTTAAATGTTCTCATAAAATTTAAAAACCTTGTGGTATTTTGATAAAAAGTAATTCATTTATCAGCAACCTTAATGGACAATTTTTTTATACCAAGACCGAGGATCATTTGACTTCTAAAACCTCTAACGTTGTCTATGAAATTGAATTCTATGCGGACTGATTTAAATTGGGTAAACAAAGGGTTCACTTAAGGGAACGTTGGGGCATAGATTTGAAATAAATTAAAATAATGAGGGCCATCAACATCTTTCATTGACGGTAAGAATTTCGAAAAAATTAACCATCCAGCTAATAGTCCAACTTTATGTACTCCATTCCGTAGACAACGTGAAAAATATTGGATCAGAAAAATAGGCACTGCATTTCCGTATGGCTGCAAAGACCACATAAATAATAACGAAATATTTCAAGTCTCAAATGTGTCAAAGTAAATGTAATGACACTCTATTAAACAAAGTATCTAGACATAGGCGTAGTCATGAACATCGAACGTACAATTGACCAAATATACGTACATGATGTCTCATTTGCTTCAATTTTACCTTACGTCATCACATTCGCACTAAACTTTACTTGGTTCCCTTGAAATTATTGAATGCACTATTTGAAGAAGCAAAAGCAAGCCCATACTTGGATTCTTCAACTGCAGACTACAAGCTAATATGTACTTGTGTTGTTTGTTTTTTACTAAATCAACTATGAAATTGATTTGAATTGTGTTTCGTGTATACGAGGTCGTTCAATAAGTTAAGCAACATACCGTTTATCAGAATTAATGTATTTTTTTTTTTATTCACAGTCGAAAAGCTTTATTTAAAAAAAAATTCTTACTCACTGAAAACAATACGCTTTTTTCTACTGAATTCGCGAAGAAATTCACTTCTTAAGTAAGCATGCTCACTACACTGAGCTGAAAACTGTTTTAAAATGATCTCTTCGAAGAAGATGAAAACTGAAAACTGTTTCATTACAGAAATTGCTCAAAGAGCCCATAAGGAAGATATGGTTTTTATATGTGGAACCACGAGTCTTTCACACTCTACAGTTTTCATATGGATTAAGAAATTCAAAAGAAAAAGGGAGAGTTAAAAAATTGCAGTCGATCTGGTCGATCGAAAAATTTAGGAACACCAAAAATATTGATGCTGTGGTCAACCCGGTATCTGAAAATGCCAGATTTACGTTGAAAGGCATTGAGAAGACACCATATATTTCATTAGCTCAACAGTTTAAAGAGTTCCGACAAAGAAAATGTATCTAAAAATATTTATATTAGGTAGAGGCCTTATTTCCCTAGGGATGCGTAAAACCTTGATTCATTGATTGTATGTTGTTTTACGTCCCATTCGAGAATTTTTCATTCATATAGAAATGTCACCATATACCGGTGAATGGCTTTAAATTTAGACCTATACTCGGCACTCAGGGCCATTGAGAAATGAGGGTTCGTTATCGTACGAACGCCACCGTTACACGGGACATCGGTTTTAAGGTCTCATCTCTTCTAGTGCTGGGCGCTTGGCGAAGGAAAAGTCACTACCTACCTTACGTTTGACGCGGCTCTTCTATCAAGAATCGAACCCGGGCCTCTCGATCACGATGCCTAAGAGAAAACATGCGTTAAATATGTTAATGTTCTATTCAAAATTTTAAGAAGGTTTTATAAACTTGAGTTGAGGATAACTAAACATGGTTGCACTTTTTTATGGCTAAAAGGAAAATCAATAATAAAATGTGGAATCGGAGAGAAAGATGTTCTATTTTTCCAGAGAGAAGCAAAGGCTCCAAACATGTCTTATAAGGGTTTTCCTTTTTACTCAAGAGTTCAAGTAAAACATGCAAATACACACAAAGAAAGAACCATCAAAAAGCTAAAATCTTATCAGGGAAAGTTAATCAGGTTTTCTGTAAGGAAAAATCCAAATATCGGTTCCCAGTGTAAGTATCCTGTACCGGACAATGCTGCTGCAAATAAGCATAGAGAAATAAGGGAAATTTTAGAAAAAGGAAAGATTACAGAGCTTAGCCATCCCTCGCATTCGCTAGATTGCAGTCACTGTAAGATCTTTTTATTCCAAAACGCAAGAAAATAATGCTATTTATCAGCGTCTTTTGAGCATCCCTTAAGATGAGTATGCTGATGTGTTCTGGTCGTGGGTACAAAAACTTAAGACATGTGAAAAGGTTAACAGGGAACACTTTGAACACATTGAGGGATCAGAAATATTAAGAAACGGCTTCTCGTGCTTTTTCTTATTTTTAGATAACCTTTTGCATCACTTATTGAACGACCCTCCTCATAACACATAGATATATACTCCGAGAAAAATGCGCTTCATGAATGATGCCTACGTGACAAGCGTGTGGTTTATACTAATAACTCGCACAAAACTATTAACACTCCTTCAGTGTTGTTGCCCAGCACAAGATCTTAAAGCAAAAAACACGTGTGGGAAGATAATAATTTAGATTCAATCCGTCGGTTTCTTAAACTTAAATTTGCCAACAAAGGAATAGATGTTCTGAACGTTAGTAACATTCTCACTCATAAAAAATCAGTCTTGCATTCCACCATGATTAAAGTTGTAATCTTCGGCCTCCATTTCCTTCAAATATTCCCCAAATGTTGCTTCTAAACTTTTCAATTATATACAAACATTACAGTGCCTAGATATTGAACATCTAAGACAAAATCCTCTTAAGGATTTTTGCTTTTCCTCTTCCTTACACTATTTAGATGAAAATGACTACCTTAAAGCAATAATTTTTAAAGGCCCTACGTACAGGTTGTACCAATCTTTCAATTTGCAACAGAACTTCATTTCTGTTATTAATTCTGACTAGGATTATGCCAGATGATGGGAGCAATATGATGGGAAGGCCTAACCACTTTGTTAGAAAGAATTAAGTGTTTTTATTGATTGATTGATTGATTGATTGATTGTTGTTTTACGTCCCATTCGAGAATTTTTCACTCATACATGTATACAGACGTCACCATATACCGATGAAGGGCTTCAAATTCTGACCTTTCCTCGGCACTCAGGGCCATTGAGCAGTGAAGGATCTTTATTGTGTCATCGCCTGCCGTGACACGGGGCCTCGGTTTTTAAGGTTTCATTCGAAGGACCCGCAACTTTAACTTCAGAGTGCCGAGCGCATGGCGAAGGAACAATTGCTACCTATTTTTTTTATCGACTTAGGTCTGTCGCGGCCGAGATTCGAACTCACGACCTCCCGATCACGGAGCGAGCGCTCTACCGACTGAGCTACCGTGAACGGTTAAGTGTTTTTGAAATCGTATCAGAAAGTTAAAAATTAGTAATCGAACAATATATCTTTCCGGTTCACTAAATGGCAAGTGATTAAAGTATAAGAAAGACTACATGAACAATATGTAATAGTTCCAGCACACAAATCTTGTAACAATTATGTCGTTGTTTTGTCAGGCTCATTATTACAACTAAATTTTAGAACTTGGGTTTTTATTCTACAACTTTAAATTCAACTTATAGTTCACTTTCTAAGGATGAAATTCTTCAAAATCACTTTCAATCCTGAAAACCTTTTACATTCGAGTCAACAAAATTAAGTTCGATCTACCCTTCCTATACTAGATTCCAGAACTTCTTAAAAATCCTCACAAAAATATAAACTGCAATAAAGGAGAAACTTCAGGCGCACTGTGCTACAGCATATTAAATAAGTAGTGTAAATCAAATGTGAAGTCTCAAAAAATCCAAAAAAAAAAAAAATAAATAAATAAATAAAAAAATAAAAACTTTTAGAAAATTTAAAAACGCAAAACCTTTCAAAAGTCATAAATCAAAATGTTAGACTTTCTACACTTTCTACAACCAATCCTCGCGATAAATTAAAAATTAGGCTTTATCATATCATACAAAATTGCTTCTTCAAAATCTACAAAATTACATATGGCGAAAAAATTAAAACTGATCAGATAAGCCGATCTGAAGCCAAAAATGTGTTAAATTAAGTGTTTTAAGCTGAATACAGAAAAATTTTTATGAAAATTTACGTATTGTTGATATTAAAATGATGCTGTGGCACCTCATTGACTGCATCTATATAGTCTTTAGAGACCAGGTTTTCCAACTGTTGGAATTCCGAAGGGCATCAACTTTGCTCTTTCATTAACCGCCCCTTTTTTTAATATTCCTATGAAGCAGAATTTATTCAAGAATTTATACACGAGAAGAATTCACTAGCTGTGGCCTTCAACTCGACATTCAAATATATGGACGACGTTTTATCAATTAATTATTTGATCAATTGAATAAAACTGTTTTAAAGTGATATTTTCACAGTGAAATCTAATAAAGTTGATACAAGATATTTTGAAATATTTTTCACTTGAAAATATCAGAAATGCGACAAAACGCATGATTTACATTCCCTTCACGAAAAGTGCTATAAAGAAAACACTCCCTGTTATAAGAAAGCAAGAGTAAACAAACCATTCTTACACAGACTTAAACTAGCTAAGTTTCTCCAAAATGTTGTTATTATCCAATTTTCACCCTTTAACTTGCCTAGCTATGACGTCCGACAAACGCTGAACTTTGCCCAACGACAATGCATTACGAAAAAAAGAGAGGCGAAAGGAAAATCAGAAAATGTAATAAGCAGAAATTTCAGTATTATGTTGTTGATTATGGAATTTCACATGTGACACATGCTTTAAAATATATATACCTTTGTAAAACTTTGATCCCTGATATGACCTCAACATACCCCTTGGTATCATGATTTGAACAAACTTGAATCTACACCATTTGAAGATGTTTCCATTTCCATATGACCAATCATGGCTTTGCTCATCTTGGGAAGAAGATGTGGCCCGACCCAACCCTGATGTCGAGATTTGGACAAACTTGAATCTTTACTAAACTGAAGATGCTTTCAATTCAATGTGATAATCATAGTTTCCATAATCTTGAGAAAAAAGTTTAACTATGACTTTTAAAGAATTTTTTGTTATATATTCCTATACGAAACTTTAATCCCCCATTTGTACCCCTACTTCCTGGGCTCGAGATTTGAACAATCTTGACTCTACACTACCTATTGATGCTTCCATATCAAAATGACTAATCATGGTTTTTCTGTTCTTGAGATGATGTAGTCCTATATAATCCTATGAAAAACATTGATCCCCCATTGTTGTCCCACCCAATCCCCAGGGATCATGATTTGAACAAACTTGAATCTACACTACCTGAGGATGCTTCCATATCAGTATAACTAATCATGGCTTTGTTGTTCTTGAGAAGATATTTGAAGATTTTTTCCTATATATTCCTATGTAAAAATTTGATCCCCCATCGTGACCCTCCCATCGTGACCCTCCCTACTCTCCGGGGCCATGTTTTGAACAAATTTGAATCTAAACGAATGAATGAAGTTTTCACATAATTTTCATTTTTTTGGTCCACTGGTTCTTGAGAAGAAGAATTTTAAAAGATGCCACCAAATTTTAACTAATTTTTAATCATCTCCCCTTGAAAGAGGACGTGACCCCACATTTGAACAAAATTGAATCATCTTTACCCAAGGATGCTTTGTAGCTAGTCTGGTTAAAATTTGCTCAGTGATGTGGAGAAGAAGTCGAAAATTTAAAAAGTTTACAGACGGACAGAAAGATAGACAGAGGAACAGACGAATGTCAGACAAAATGTGATCAGAAAAGCTCACTAGAGCTTTCAGGTCAGATGAGCTAAAAAAAAAATCCAGTCCCACATGTGAAACATTGAAAATCCTCTATTTATATAATATTAGTGTTTGCTTCTATACTCAATGAGATGTTCCATACGAATGCACGGTATATATTTTTTAAAATTATGAACAAATCACGTGGAAAGATTTTGCCAAATGGAACAAAAATATATTCATTAATGATTTTTTTTTTAAAAAAGTGAATTACATGAATTAACATTTTGCAGAATAAATTTTGTATTTCTGTGCATCTGCATTTAAAATCACATGTATTTAGATTGTAGTGTATGGTACATCAATTGCTTTGGATTTACAAAATGCTCAAAGATTAGAAATAGCAGTTTTGCAGGAAAATACATTTAAATTATATGAAATTTTCAAAGCAAATATAAATGAACAATGAACGAGTTTTTAATTATGAAAAATTAGAAGTACATGAAATATATGGAGATAACGAACAGTATTCAAGCTCAAAAGTCCATTAAACATTACAAAATAGGAGCAGAGGAAACACGGACCTCCAAAACATCAGAGGTGGGATCAGGTGCCATGGAGGAGTGAGCATCCCCTGCCGACCGGTCACACCCGCCGTGTGCTCCTTGTCTGGATCGGGGAATAACGGAAAAATCCATCGATAATTAATTGTGTAAATAATGGCCTAACAATAAGTATTAAAAACGTCAGTCAGCATTTGAATCAATGATAAATTGTATTTGTTGACAAGGTCATTGTATCGACCATAGAACTTACGAAATGATGACTTTAAACGAGACTGCTGATATTCTTGTTTCATCAACTTGTTTGTCAATAGTTTACCTCGTTTCAGAAATTGTACATGCGTAGAGCATGCTCTTGCGTATCGAATCAACTGAGACATATCGACCCCGTATGCAGGTGATGAAGGTATATTGCTGCATAAGTAAGGGAAGTTGACGATTGAAAAGTTAAAGTCATCACGTTTATCATAAAGCTTGGTTGTTAGATTACCATTAAGTCTTTTTCAAGTAAAATATCCAAATATGAAACAGATGTGTCAGACTCTGTGGTATCTTTTATCTCAAGCTCACAAAGATATATCGTATCGACATAAGAATGGAAATAACCATTGGTAATTGACAATACGTCGTCGATATATCTAAATGTCGAGTTGAAGGCCACAGCAAGTGTTTTCTTCTTTTCACATATAAGATTTTGGACAAATTCTGTTTCATATGAATACAAAAATAGGTCTGCTAATAACGGGGCGCAATTGGCACCCATGGGAATTTCATTCGATTGTTGGAAGACCTGGTCTCCAAAAACCACATATATATTGTCAATGAGAAACTCAAGCATCTTTTTAATGTCAACTTCAGAGTACTTGTGTATACAATCAGAATATTTTTTAACAAAATAATTTTGCAAATGACCAGTGACAAGGTAAGTAAATTTACGAGTTCCATTTTTATTGAAAAAGCAGCTGTCAATGATATCAAAAAGCCTGGACTTTAATTTATCGTGGGGAATGGTTGTGTATAAAGTTGAAAAGTCGTAAGTTTTTAAGCTGTTGATTTTGGTAAAATTTTGTGATTTCAAATTTTCCAAAAGTTCCGTGGAATTTTTAAGTATCAACATCTGATTTACACCACTTTTCGAATATATTGTTAAAATATTAGGTTGAATAACGCTAAAATTCTCTTCACATAAATCAATCACTATAATTTGATACGGTCATTGAATTGTCTGTTTTGAAAAGTAGTTTGAATAATTTCAGTAAAAACTAAAAGCTCTTCAATTCTAAAAAAATGTTAATATGCAAAGAGTTCCAAAATACAATCACAATAAATTTCAAACAAATATGACCCTATAAAATGCATCCTAGTGTGAATGTAATAAATTGCTGCCATGAACCACCGGACTTAAAAATCATAAAAATGGAGGGGTAAGAGAATGCAAATATAACATAATCTCTAGTATAAAAGTTTCATCTGATGAGAAATGTATCTATATAAGAAAATATAGACAAAGTAAAATAAATTGATATAAAATAAAATTTAGAAAATCATAAGTCTTTTGGCAGGTACTATGAACGTCATTGCCAGTTCTTGATAATCCTGAGGACTTTGGATAATCAGCGAATTTGTTTACAACAGGCTTCAATCTCCGTGTTGTGGGAATATTCGTCACTTTCTCAATTTTCACAGATGTTGAATAATCTGACTTTGGCATTTGAGTGGTAGTTGTTGGTTGAAGTGTTGATCTTTGTGGTATTCTTGTTGTCATTTCTGATGATTTTGTTGTTGGTTTCTGTGTTGATGCTGTTGTTAGTTTCAGTATGGATGCTGTTGTTGGTTTCTGTGTTGATGCTGTTGTTGGTTTCTGAGTTGAAGCTGTTGTTAGTTTCTGAGATGATGCTGTTATTGGTTTCTGTGTTTCTAATTTCTCTGTTTTTGCCGTCGTTGGTGATGATTCCTGTATTGATTTTGTTGTTGGTTTCTGTATTGATTTTGTTGTTGGTTTCTGAGTTGAAGCTATTGTTGGTTTCTGTGTTGATGCTTTTGTTGTTAATTTTGGTGTTTTTGTTGTTGGTCTGGGTGACGTGAATGGAGTTGTTAAGTTTGTCCTTGTTATTTTCAGCATTGCTTTAGTTGTTGATTCGTCTAATGGAATCGTGGTTATTGTTGCTCTTGTTGCTGTTGTTGTAGGAAGCATTGTCTTCCGTGACATTGTCAATAGTGTTGTTGGATGTGATGTTGTTAAAAAAGGCTTTAAATTTCTGGTCGTCAAAGGGGTTATTGTATGACCTTAATTAAGAAAACACCCTCACATGAATTATAAATTTGCATATTCACCATTTAATGGAGTCGGCCGATATTTTAATCTAAACACCCCCTCCCCTCCCCCCCCCCCAAAAAAAAAAAAATTCTGAATTTCTACTAACCTGTAGATACATTCCAGTTCCTGACTACTGAATTATCAGTACCTTCCTTATAAAAATGAATAGCCGGACTGTCAACATAGTAAATATGTTTTGAATACACTGCATTTGTCCTGCTAGTAATTATTTCTCGTCTTCTTCGTCCTGCTAGTGTTGAGTTGCAGCTCCTGTCACATTCAGCTGTTTTCTCTGACAGCAAACACACGAAAGCTTTACAGTGCAGGTACACTAGGTCAAAGTTGACGAATTTAAAGGTCTGATAACGAAATCCAAAGGAGGTGGAGTTTAAGGGGAAAAATCCAAGTGTTGGGTCATGTTGACATCTGAAAAGAAATTCGATCCAATCAAAACAAAATAAAAAGACAACAAAATATCGATGCAAAATAGTAGATTCCAAAGATGGTATAAATTTAGAATTAAGGAGCAGTTTATAGGAAGATCAACAACCCAATGTGTTAATTAGCTTGTGCCTTATGACACATGATATATAATCTAATCAAACTAAATCAGATCTGAATAAATGACTAAATAAGTTTAAATTATGTATCTCTTCTATTGAAATCTCAGAAGAGAAATTTACGTTTTTGATGAAAAGACGTGCGAAATCCCATTATAGTAAATTCAATGGAATATTTTTTGAAAATTATTCAGAGTATTGATCTGTGATTAAAAAAAAGGTTAAATAAAAAGTATCACAGAGAGATATTCTGTAATCACAAAATGGAACCTTTTTAGAGGTAATCAAGCTAAGAAGATTCATTATCGTAGAAAATATATTACTCTCCCTTCATAGTTTTATTATGTAGTAGTCAAAGGTATTTTTCTATCTCATCTATCATTATATCATGCATGGGATGTTCTTTTTGCCTAAAATTAATTGTTAATTAGTTTTAAAGGACAAATTTTAGCTATACTAACTTGGTTTCAAACAATGGATATGTAGTGGGGTCCGTCTTAGAAGTAGAAGGTGTGGCCACACAATCAGGAACTATCAGTTTAAGATTGGAATCTGTGGTTTCCAGCGTCAGTGCTACATTTAGCCACTCTCCCAGGGTCAAGATCAATGGATAATTTGTAACAGGGTTGTTAAATGAGTTGTTTCTGAAAAACTCCATTCTGATGTTGAATGTTCCAGGGGCCTTTTGTGTTACATTTTCTGACTGCGGTAACAATCCCCGATTTGCATATAATTCTCTTGGGAACTCACAGGAGACTTCTACTCGATATGTGTTCACCCTATGAACATTTCCTTCGGTTGATGTGTAATCATAAAGAAGAACCGTGGTATATATGATGTGGGAATCGTTTGTCTGAAAATAAAAGCGAATCGATCGTATATGAACACTAAGTGAAAGATTTATAGAAAATGTTTTCACAATTCATATATAATTATATAGAGGGCAATGAAGTTCATTCTGAAATTAATTATTTAAATTTGAGCCCAAAATTGTTTAATTAAACATAAATATTTGTCCTCAATTTCTTATTCTTTTTTTTTTACAATCACAGTATTAACGTTGCTACGTTGCTAAACATCAAAATGAGTAAACATGTAGCTGTAGACTTAATTAAACAAAATGAATTATTAGCTGACAAAACAATAATCATTTATGATTGATTTAAATAACAAAACCGTCGCCCGCGTGGCGCATTGCTTAGAGCGTTTGCTCTAGAGTCGCGGAGTAAGGTATTGATCCATATGTCGGGGGTTTGAATCCCATTCCTGGACGTGGAGACCGTCTTCGGATGAGACAGAGTAAACCAAGTCCCCTGTCACAGTAGTGCTAAAAAGTTGCGAGAAGGTGCAAAAAAGTTCCCTTACTGCTTAAAAGCTGTAATTGCAAAGTGCAAGTGAAGGTTTCTCAGTATGAGTGAAAAAATCTCGAGGGGACGTTCACGAACAAACAAATAACAAAGCCCATTGGTATTAATGCTGTCGAATGTTGGATAAACATAAAAGATTGGAGAAAGAACAGCGTGAAGGGGGCGATGTATACAGGGCAAAGAAATGCATACGAACCAGAAAAAAGAACTTTTCTATCTGTAGCATCTTGACAATGAGTTTGAATTATTACACAAATTACGTCGTTTTTTTAATGTGTACCGAATGGGGTGCCAAAGAACTGGCTTAGATGGTACAAACGTTCTTTAATTCAACATGTAAAATTGTATTTATTTAAAAAAAGGAATTACCATGATATCGGTTCCGCACTCGTCAAATGGTATACTGATGGACACATAATTGGTATCTGTTGACTTGACAACGTTACAGACACCAGTAGTTTGATTAAAAATACTCAAAAACTTCTCTTCTAAATATCTGTCACTCTGACGACTAAATGAAGCCCTGATTCTGCCGTTGGAACATTCAAGGATAGGCATCGGAGCTGAAAATTTGCAATATTACTTGCATTAGTACGACAAAGCAAGCCGGATTCAATAACAGGATTTTTTAGCAAAGCAAATCATTATGCATTTGGGGAAATAAGAAAGTGTTTTTTTTTTTAGATTTTAAAGCAAGTTATAGCAGATATTAATGGCGTCATCTCTCTCTCTCTCTCTCTCTCTTTGTGTGTGAGGGTGTGTGTGAGAGGGTGTGTGTGTGTGTGTGAATTTGTGTTAAATAGAAATGTATTAATTACGAGTCGGTGGTGAGTTGTCCAGTATAACACAGGCCACACTGGCATATTCGTCAGGTCCGTGACAGTTGATCTGAGCACCTGTAGTAGACCTGCAGTCCCCGATACTGTTTTCGTTACCTTGGCATTCTACGTCATCCAGAGCGTACGTGGAACTGACGTTTGAGCGAACATAGTCAATATCAATGGGAGAACCAGCTCGAGCGTCAACGGGACTAAAATTACATTTTAAAAATATTTTGTCCATGTGTTTATTTCTATGTTTCAAACACATTTCATATAAATATACCGTTGTATCTTGTTTTGGAATGTCGTGATCTCATTAAAACCAAAGCAAATTTCCTTTCTGACAAAAAGATTAAATACAGAAGAAAAAATAAAATTACGATTAGAAGCAAAGCATTATTTTTATCAGCAATTCCAACTGTTACTGACAAATGCATCTGAGAGTTATGACAATACTTACTCAAAACACAGCATCCTACAAACCACCTGAGCGTCAGCAGTACCCCACAAATCATCACAGACTGCGTTCCATTGATTATTGTAGTATATCTCGACAAAGCCCAGACCTCTTTGGTTAGCAGGACCTATAATACGCACGTCCCATTGTTGCGGGGTAGCTTGGGCTAGAATAAAGAAAAAAATTCTGTTTTGTGATGTCATTTCCCCAAAAAATTGTTTGCCGACAGAAGTTTAAAGGAATGCTTTAGTTTCTTATAAAATGAACAACATTTATTCAGTGTAGAACGTACTGATATATTGTGAAGTTGTATTTCAAACATTTTATTGTACAAATATATCACATAATACTTCTATAATGGTTAAGGGGCATGTTTGTGAAATGCAATGAAGACTCCAAATAGTGGAATGACCTGACAACCCCTTGGTATGGACTAGCCAAAGGGTATATAAATCGAAGCTTTAGGGGAATCAGACATTCAGAAGTTAACTGAAAAAGTTGATGGATGAATCGGAATCTAAAAGAAGTAATTAAATAAGAAGTTAAGTTTAAGAGCATAATAAAAATATAAGCGTTATAAGCACCGTCGACGAATAATCCTAGGGAACTGATGTTACGTTCTGGTTGTAATAAATCTGAAGAAGATTGAGACACCCAGGTATACTATATCAAAAGGAACCTAGGGGAGAAACACAGTGCAAGTAGTACCTTACCCAGTCCCCGTCTTTAGATAAGAGGAAAGTTTTAGTACTGTGTAGTTTACCCTCAGACAGAGTGGTCTTAATAGCCATCCCAATCATTAACTCAGATAAGAGTAAGAGGAAAACATATCCATCCCTTGTAAGAACTTGATCACGTTTCACTCCCTGCGTAGTTTAATGCCAGGAACATAGGAAGCAACTGCAGTTTGGGGGGTAACAACCATACATTTTCAGTTTGGGGGGCACTATCAACTACCAAAAATTCCTTGACGAGCGAAAAAAAAAACAAACAACAAAAACACAACAAAAAACGACAACAACAACAACAACAACAACCAAAAAACACTCCAGTGCCCCCAAGTTCCCAAGACCATGAATGCTTTTTACAACACTTGCTGCACTTTAATATTTTATTTTTATCGTTACCATTTTATGGTACATATACATATACTTATACTTCAATCATTTGCTTTTCAAGTTTAATCACTTACTGGTTGTGCAGTTGTTGGATTGGATGTTGGGCGGAGAACGTGTCGTTGTTATTACCGATGGCGCTGTTGTCGAACTCGAGGTACGACAAAAGACTCCAACATCCTCGTTGTGACCACAGTTGGTTTTACCCCAACCTGAAAATTGACACTGGTCAATCGACTGCTCTGTGCCGTCACAATTCAGGTCATCCATCCATATCTGACCAACACCTGCCCCAAAAGTTCCATTCGTTAAGGCTATTCCTCCTTCACTGAAAAAATACAGTGTCCATATAAACGAGGGCACCTGAGCACCCTCGCAAGAACAAATCTATATATAGATTATTGCTTGCGTTACTTCCGTCACACACGCACTCAATCACTCCCCACTCACCCCCCCCCCCCCACACACACACACACACAACTGCGTTACCATATCCCCTTCAACTTCGTTGCGAGGGGATAATAATTAAAAGTATATTGCTTTTCTTCAAGTACGAATAGATTTGCTTAGAATTCAGGGATGGATCTTAGGGTTGTCAATATAAAGTGAAGGTATTTTATGAAAGTTATACCAAACCCTAACGCAAAAGTCTATTTAGAGGGAGGAGTGTCAGATCCAGCTTGAACGCAAGACAAAACTAAAAGGATTTTTTTTTTTTTGAATTCTAAATAAATCGTAAAATGCCACCAAGTTTGGAATATTACTAATATGGATTTTCCTATGGGAATGCGACAACCATGCATATACTTTGCAGATGATATAACTGGAATTAAAATGTCACCGGTTGATATAAAACTCGAAAATTTATGTAACTTGCAAAAAAAATTAGATATTAAAGGGGCCTGGACACAGTTGCATTGTTAACATTTTAAATTTCTATGTTTATTCAAAAAAGCTTCAGTTTAATGAATTGAACTTACATAAATATACTTCGAATTCGATGACAACGATATTCTTCATAATATCACGATAAACATCTGTGTATGTAAACAGGGCATGAGCTCTGTTATTGTTAATGTTTACGTTTTACCGGGTGTGTTCAATTTCTTTACTCTGTACACATCACTGAGCACGGATGGACATCCTAGTGAGTTGGTTTTGCTTTCTCAAATTACTACTCGAAAATTTCTGGATTATAGTTTTAATATTTTTCATTAATACACAACAAAATTTCTACTTTTCTTATGAATTAAGAATAAAGTTTACTTTATAAAAGTGCCAGTATATGTGTCAATCAAACGCGTCCCCAAATTCATTATAATTCGAATTGAAATGCTTTAGCAACATATATGTTATGATATTATACTGAAAAGTTTAGAAAATTTTAACTCGAAATCTGTGTCTAATCCCCTTTAACAAGTATCTGTATTGTTAATTAGTAATATTTACAACCACTGAATACTATCCCCTTTTGAAACCGTTTAAAGTCAGCTTTTCGAAAATTCGCAATACGGTCGTTATAAATAATGACCTTGTTTTTCCTATATCGTTGGGTCTTATTTCGTCTAGCATGTTTGATACCATTTGTTAGGTCATTGCTTTTATATTAAATTTGACTACGGGTTGCTCCGTATCCTCATCCATACATGGGGCTCACGGCAGGTATGAATGGTCGACAGGGAATGCTTACTCCTCCTAGGCACCTGATCCCACCTCTGTTCTTTCCAAGGTCTGTGTTTTTGCCATATGTTCACGATTCGTTTTGTTTACTGGATTTATGAGGTTAATCGGTGTTCGTTATCTTCACATTTTACATCATTTCTTATGAAAACCACGATGGGTGATTAAAAAAAAATGTCCGGACACATATTTATCAACCTGCTCTAAAAACAGGCTATGTGAATAAATTTCTATGACTCAGCATTTGTCTTTTGGTATTGACAAATATCTCATTGACGTCACAAAAAGTTTTGCTCAAAAAATGGTGTTAAAAATGCCAGGAGTGCAGCACCTTTTTTTGACAATTTAAAGAATTCAATATTTTTTTAAGATGTGTTAAATAAATAATAATGGTTTACGTTAGAAATAAAGACTTTTCTGAAAAAACTATTATCTTATGCTTTAAATTTAGACGGTAGTAACTTTTGTTCAACCGAGTTATGGTCTTGGCTGAGGCTGAAAAAAAAATGCTTCACATGTCAGCAGTGCAACAGAAAAAAATGTCATTGCCAAAAGGACATTGACTTTAAAAACTTGCATGACAATTAAGTCAAAAGAGTTTTCAAAGAGTTAAACAATAATTGAAAGACCATTTAAAAGTTTGAAATTTTTTACGAATGAAAAGCAGCGTTAATGTATAAACTTTCTGTGTATACCCATTTATGTCAAAAGTCTGATGTTTTGTTCCCCAACATGGAAAATTTTTTATCAGTAATTAATGCTTTAGTTTGTATTTTGGAAAATAACGACAAAACAACATTTTTACCAAATGAAATGCGTTTCAGATCCATATTTCTATGGCAGAAGTGCAACACATTTTTTAAAAAATAAAAATCCAAGTTCAATGATGAAAAGACTTACGAGGGTCATTCAAAAATTCGTAGACTTTATTTGTCATCTTTTAATATTTAACGTCATATACGAATGACCAAATTTGTTAGAAATGTTTTGATAATAAATCCGATTAATTTCAAGTTAAAAAATTTGAATATATCATGATATATTCTAAAATTATTGAAAATATTAAACTGCAAAACTGAAGTCGAAATTTAGTATTGAGATCGCAATACATTATAACATCTCTATAATCATCTCTCTTTAAAATGGCGTGAAAATAAAATAAAAAACTAAATATTCAAATTAAGTATAGTTACACCATTTCTGCTGACAGGGTCATTATAATGACCATGGAATTTACGAAATGTTGACTTTAAACGAAGATGTTGAAATCCTTGTAACATCAACTTATCTGTATACGTTCTGGTGTAATTTATGCTTCATAATTCTATTTAAACTCTCACATGCTTTTGATCAGGAGTGCAACAAAAATGTTTGAATTATCATTGATCAAATATGAATAAAAATAAACAGTGTTTGTCCTATGAAGCAAAATGTCCTATAAAATATACTTTTATCTTCTTAATAGATTTTTAGCTAGTTTTGTGGCATTAATAGGGAAAAATTCAAGATATAAAACCAATTTCAAACAATTTTATATTTTTTTCACATATACAAGAGAAGAAACTCAGTCAAGGTTTAGATCTAATCACTTATATCCTTGACACAAGTTTAAAGGATGAAATTCTATGATTTCTTTTAATTGTGTATTTCAGAAAGTCTTTTGGAATGTTGAAATATTTTCTTTTTTCAAATGAAGTTCCACTAATAGAATTTCTGAAACATTTTATGTATTTGTCTATATACTTCAGAAATTCTAACTAGAATGTTTAGTATGATGTTATAATTGAAAAATATGTTAAGTTGATTTAAAAAAATAATTTCTGGTCATTAGTTTTGAATTCACTTCGGTCGTTTATCAATACTTTAACGCCGCTAAGCAAGCCACCTTTATAAATTTCTTGAGCAACTTTAACCCCCATTCTAACAACCAAAGGAAGCATTTCATTGTCTAAATAATTCCATATCGATTTTATTTTGATGTCTATCAATACTTTTCATAGAATATATGTTTAAAGTATGCAATTTGACCCTCAATCTAGAGTGATCTAGAGAATCGTTACGTAATTATCATCCTGCACAACAATACTTTTCTCATATGAAAAAAGCAATGCAAACATAAATTGCGTCTATTCAAATTTGAAGTCAATAAATGCCCTTTCAAAAATTTTCTCAAAACTACGTTGTTAAACCAGAAAGAATTATATAAGGTTACGATGCCTAAATCCTGTTGAGTTACTCTAGCGTAAAATACAGACTAAATGAATACCTGTTGTTAAGCAAATATGGAACATAGCATGGTTATTTAAAAATATAATTAAAAATCGCAAATATCTAATTTAAGAACTTTTTATAAGTAGAAAAGATTTATCAGATTGATTATTGTTTAGGGAAAAAAATGCAGAACTCTGATTGCTTTGAATTTACCTACTGCATATCAAACTTCTCAATCTTAAGTAGAATTTTCTACTTAACAGTTAAAGTCTTTCACGGAACTACATAAAGGGAAATCTTTGGCTCAAAAATTTTAAGCAGTGGTACAGTTAAAATGAATGACGTATCGTATTTTTGATATTTTTTGCATAACAATCTCGAATTAAAAACTTTAGAAACTATTTAGATGTATTTGAAGACCATGAAATGGTTCTTTTTAATGTAAACATTAATTTGCAGTCTTAAATTGATCTAAATATACTGGATACTGACTTGAACCCCTGCATCCTACAAACAACCCCTGCGTCTTCCGTACCAAATTGGTCATCACACACCGTCCCCCAGGTACCATTGTATAGCACCTCCACCCTTCCCTGATAAGCTGTTGCTCCATTGCCACTGAATCGTACAGAAACAACCTGTCCTGTGGTTTAATAAAAATATTGATGCTTTTTTTCTATTCGGCTTTCTAAAACTTTTCATAATAAAAGGACAAATCAAAGATGTAGAGTATAAATAAATTTAATTCAGTAAATGCATATTTTAGCAAGTCTGTGAAATGTGTTTTATGTTTTATACTAGGAAAGGTGTTATTGAAATTTTTACCTGTACTCATTGGAAGAACAAGCAGCAATATGCCCAGATACCAGACATGATCAGTCATTTTGGTTATCGATATCCCAACAAGTCAACTGCTCGTAAAGAACTCGTTCAGTTTCCACCCTAGCATATCTATGGCTAGTATTTTAAGACCTTCGACGATACACATGCGCAGTAAATGAAAAAAAGGGGAAAATAATGTCGCAATTTTCACTTACATTTAAATTCTTTTTTTTAATGAGCTTCGCCAATTTCCTATATACTCTCACCAAAAGGTAACGAAATACACTCCTGGAATTTCAGATCCATTGAAAGTCATTCAGAAGGATTTTTAAAACCAGTTTTCCTGTATTTTAAAGTATAACACACAAAAAGGTTTTATTTCCTTTTATACAGTGTGTTGAGCAATATCAGCAAAGGAGGATTCATATATTTATCACTTGTTTAGTTGCTTATACCGTGGTTTAGCTCATATGGTATCGTTTTTATATCAACAGTTGGACATCACAAATGGTTTTTTGCGTTATGGAAATTCGATCCTGAACTTTTGAGCAGATTTTTGTCTGAACCCCTGTTTCTAAAATTTCATCATATTTTAGTGATTACAATAAATTGAATTCTACAATGCCAGTACTATAATCAATAAAAAAAACACGATTAAATTCCATAAGAAAAGCATTAGGTGAGACACTATATTTTGTGGAGTAAGGATTTTTTTTTAGAGGAAAATGATCAATTTTGCTTCTTTGAAGTATTTACAGTACTGTTAAGTTTGGATTTCTATTTTTGTTTTCCATCCAGCCTACACACGGAATGTGCAGTGAAATGTTTTATGTTGGCTCTGAATTATATATTAAATTAGAATGTCTGAGTATCACAGTGATTAGTGTACTCGAATTCTCACCGCTGATCGGCAGTGATTGTACATGTATGTGAGAGGGTAAGGTAGTCACCCGCTCGGACCTGTATGTTTTCTCCGGGTACTTCGGTTTCCTCCCACAGAAATGACCTCCTCGTGGCAACATCTGTGCAATAAAGGATCTCGTTGGAAATAAGCTTTCGAGCTTTCATGGGCTGTCTTTGGCATAATTTGTATGTATTAATGTATAAACCAAATAAACATTCCTTTACAACTATTATGAATTCTATCACCATATTGTGACAAATTTAGCAAATATATTGTATTACAGTAAAAGTCAAGAAAAAATATCCCCAATTTTAGCTTAAAATATATCGTATAATATTTAAAAATTTACGTCGTAGACCCTCGCATTTAAAATTTCTTTTCTGAATTATAGGATAACTTTGACCATTAATTCAGCTTAAATTCAGTAAAAGCTTAAGACTTTAAGGTAATTTTATGGCTTGTTAAATTTTTAATTCCAGAATAATGATATTTTGTGATTGCAGAAAGGTATTAATAATTGATTATTCGAAGTAATTTGAAACTTTTTCTTTGTCACAATTTTTAATGTGTCTATTCAAGATATAGAAGATATTCAATGAGTTGCAGTATATATGGAATTTATTTCGCAAATGGGACAGGATTCTTGATACCATAAAAAGTGCGAATTCGAAGCATGATTATTACATTTTCTTTGACTTTCCCTTTGTCTTTTCGTAACATAGGCTCTGACGTGATAATTGAGCGGTTGAGGCGTCATAACTATACTTAAATATATAAATATTCGGTTGCCTATGGTTTGTAAAAGTGTTTTTCTCCGCTTTTATGTTTCATCACTCCCTTACAATTTCTACTAGTGCTATGTAATACTGTTTTTATTACATTTTCAGTAGTGAAATATTGTGATTTATTTATTGAATAAAAGTAATATTCTTTCACAGTGTGAGAGGATACCAAAATGATATTCTGTCACAGTGTGAAAGGATTTCAAAGTAAGTATTTAATGATTTCTGGTCTATCATAAGATAGTCTAAGAGATAATAACTAAACTTGAAAGAGACTTAACTGTAAATTTCCTTCCAAATATATTGCTAAAATCCATATTACAATGTTTTCAATTTTACAATTGCTAAGCTATTAAGTCTCAACCGCTCATTATGACGTCACAGCCTATAACATTGTGTTCAGAAAAGACAGAGGCAAAGAGAATTCAAAGAAAATGTAATAAACAGAAAATTCAATGTTTTGTATTTGGATAAAATTTATTTCACTCGTGAGGCAGGAGTTTTTAATATTTTCACTCGAAAATACCAAAAACTCCTTCCCACTCGTGAAATAAATTCCATATCCAACTAAAAACATTGAGTATCCTCTATGTAAGTGTGCAGTAATAACTTACGAATAGTTTTGAATGAAATGTATGGAGATAACGAACAGTATTCAAGCTAAATGTCCATTTTTAACAATACAATTTTTGGAGCACAGCAAACACGGACCTCTAAAACATTAGAGGTGGGAGGAGTGAGCATCCCCTGCCGACCAGTCACACTCGCTGTGTGCTCCTTGTCATGATCGGGTAATAACGGAAAAAATCCGTCGACAATTCAATGTGTAAATAATGGCCTAACAATCAGTATGAAAAACGTCAGTCAGGATTTGACTTAATGATAAATTGTATTTGCTGGCAAGGTCATTGTATCGACCATAGAACGTACGAAATGACGACTTTAAACGAGACCGCTGGTATTCTTGTTTCATAAATGTGTTGTTTGTCAATAACTTACCTCGTTTTAGAAATTGTTCATATGTAGAGCATACTCTTGCGTATCGAATCAACTGAGAGATATAAACCCCGTATGCAGATGATGAAGGTATAATGCTGCATAAGTAAGGGAAGTTGGCGATTGAAAAGTTAAAGTAATCACGTTTATCATAAAGTTTGGTTGTTAGATTACCATTAACGTTTTTTTCTAGTAAAATATCCAAATATGAAACAGATATGTCAGACTCTGTGGTATCTTTTATTTCAAGCTCACTGGAATATATCGTATCGACATACGAATGGAAATAACCATTGTTAATTGACAATATGTCGTCGATTTGAAGGTTACAGCAAGTGTTTTCTTCTTTTCACGTACAAGATTTTGAACAAATTCTGCTTCATATAAATACAAAAATAGGTCTGCTAATAACAGGGCGAAATTGGTAACCATAGAAATTCCAATAGATTGTTGGAAAACCTGGTCTGCAAAAATCACATAGATATTGTCAATCAGAAACTCAAGCATCTTTTTAATATCAACTTCAGAGTACTTGTGTGTACAATCAGAATTTTTTTAACGGAATAATTTTGCAAATGACTAATTACAAGGTAAGTAAATTTACGAGTTCCATTTTTATTGAAAAAGCAGCTGTCAATGATATCGAAAAGTCTGGACTTTAATTGGGGAATGTTTGTATATAAAGTTGAAAAGTCGTAGGTTTTTATGTTGTTGATTTTGGTAAAGTTTTGTGATTTAAAATTTTCCAAAAGTTCCTTGGCATTTTTAAGTATCAACATCTGATTTACACCACTTCTCGAATATATTGTTGCACAGTACTCTTGAAGTTTCTCCTTCACTACTCTTAATATTTTAGTGAGGGGTAAAGAAAGAGGCTTGGTAGAACTTTTACTGGGATCCGCTATGTATCTTTGTTTGTAAGGATTTTTATGAAGTTTCGGAATCCAATATAGATTTGGTAATTCAAATTCATGTTGGTTGTTGGGAATATTAAAGATATTCAAAACTGACATTTGATTTTGAAGAATTTCCTCCTTAGAAAGGGAGTTATGGGTATAAGTTGGACTACCACTTGTTGAATTAAGTCCCAATTCCTCTAAAATACAATTTAAATAATGAGTCTTAAAATGAGTGAGACAATGTTGTTAACTGCTTTGTCAGCAGGGACCAATACACACCGATCGTGTAGTCTATTCAATTCTTCTTTCACTTCTGAATTATTGAACACAATAGGAGAGTGGTTTTCATTTTCCCCTCAATCGCTTAATGCGAGATTTTAACACATTTTCAATAACGGGAGAAACAGGTCTCATAATGTGTGTTAGTTAATTTTTTTAATTGTCAACAGACAATCGGCAAGGCTCATATCTATTGATAATTAAAAAGATTGGGAACTCGAGCTGGAGAAAAAAAAGAGGATAACTAACTCGCCTATACATGTAGTTAGGTTATAGAACCTATCTATGTACGAGGGTTATCCAAAAGTGATGTCACACCCGCTATAAAATCCTGATAATCACATGTTATCAACAAACTTTGACATACTTATACCCCTATCTATTTTAAAATTTCATTCGATTATATAAAATACTTTTTAAAACATTAAGATATACACAACGTTGTATATCGCCGCACGGCAAGAATGTTACCGAGGTCGTTATAACATTACTTTTTGGCACTCATTTTCGGTTCTTTTTTTCATATAATTTTTACCTCTCACTTACTTCTTTTTAAAAATCTTTACTATCATTTTGCTATAAACCGTCTTGTGTAGAGTTGAGCGATAGATGAGACCCAATGCTGTATTTACTTTAATATTTTATTAGTACTGCATATTTCTAAATGAAATTTTAGGGCAAAAGTCAAAATAGATAAAGGTATTTGTATATAGAGTTTGGTTGAATACTTTCGATTATTAAATGTTCTATAGCAATAATTGTAACATTATTTTTGAATTAATCCTTGTATTTCTTTTTTTCCCCGTCTCGTTCGATTCAAACTTACTTCTGTCTGCACATAAACTCCGCATTGGACGTGTATTGATTTTCAATTATTACACTCCCATCACGTAATAAACGTCAACCAATCGTAATCCAGTATTTCATCGAAATATCATCAGAGATGGTGTAAAATGGTTCCACGTTGACGATTGTATAATTTACGCAGTACAAAACCACAAAGCAGTTAAAATACGTGCTTTTACATATTTTTTTTATCATTTTCATCTACTTGGCAAAATATTAAACATTAATTAAATTTTGATCTTTAAATAAGTAAAAGATTTCTCAAAGAGTAAGTGAAGTTCTCCGGAATGAACCTCAAAATAGTCTTCTTCAGATTACAAGAAGTGTATGAGGTTCATAAAATGAAGGAGGGAGATTACTTAATGTAATTTTTAGAAGATTTACGTAATGAAACATAACTCATTACAAATAGCTTTATATATAAGTACTGCTTATTAAGAAATAGTTTATGTACTATGTCTTACGCACTAAAATGATCCACATAAAAAGAAAAATTGATTCTAAATTTATAAATAGTCAGGTAATTTATATAATCAGGTCGAGTTTGACTGCAAGGGTTATAATGATTTACCAGACTTTCTATTATAAAGCGAGAAGCTTCCCAAAGCAAAATGACGAACAACAGAGACAAAAATCTATTTAAAAAAATAATAAATCTATGTTTCGGGAATTCGCAGCGTTTTAAATTCGACCTAGAATTTCCTACAGACTGTGATTCAAGGATTTTTTGATCGCCAGGAACAAAGACTCAAATCAAAAAGAAGCAAAAATACTTGGAGAACCTACATGTATAAACGACCATTTGGCGATTTTTAAATGTTAATTAGATGATACCGTCGACAAGTACGAAAAAAGTACTATTGCGTGATTCTTTTGCAAAATTTGGTGGCAGAATTTTTGGGTTGAGTTAAGGAATCACTGTCTAGTCAGTAGAGTATGTCAGGGCATCAACGATAGTTGGAAACGTGGGATAATATACAATTATGGACTCTTTCGGTGGTGAATATGGTTTGTTATTCACCAGAAAAATATCAATATTGACCGAGGAGAAGCCGAGGTCAATATTGATATTTTTCTGGTGAATAACAAACCATATTCACCACCGAAAGAGTCCATAATTGTTTTATTATATAGTCAGGATTTGAATAAATAAGACATTGGAGCATGCATGACTATACCGTTTCATTAACGAACCTCTTTCGTAGAAAAATAAAAAATAAAAATGTCCAGATTACAACTTGTAACTTCTGTGTTTTCCTTTTGCTGTTTGTAAGACACCGTAATGTTAAGAAAATAATCCTGCGATAGGCTTGGCTAATGTTTTTCCAGCTTAGATACACAGCTGGCTCCGGCCGTTGCAACCATTGTTTACAACGTTGGTAGAGGTGTTGATTGTGATGTCTAAAATGCCGCTGCACGCGCACCGACCCTCCGGTGAATACGGCTTTAAAACCGGTGAATATGTAGTGTTATGAACTGTTTGCGTTTGTATAGATTATATAGAGACTATAAATAGACTATATAATAATACTAAATCAAGTTCTTTCTTCAAACTTGCTCTTTCGAGTTATCTGTAATCCCTTGACCCTGCAGTTATCCTGTAACTGCCACTTCAAAAATTATTCGAAGGTTTATAGAAAAGGCGATGATGGCATTAAAAGTTGAATTATTTAGGAGAAATTATTTATCTAGCATTGTTGGATTATTGCAAATCTGAAAAAAAAATACACCATGGGCGTGGCAAGCAAGTTTGAAGAAGAAAAAATACCTTCACTATTTGAATATTTTATTTTAACATTGGTTTATGTCAACTGACACTATATCCAATACTAAATGTTCTCCAAAATCCTACTGTTTCTTTTTGTTTCGAATCTATGTCCATGGTGAACGAAAAATCCTCATGATCATCGTTTGCAGGAATTCCCGGGATGAATTGAAAAGCGTCAATATAGACTCTGATTTAGTGTAATCTTTCTCCCTTGGTCCACTATTTGGCTTACTTGAACATTCTCCTCTTCATTACACGGAAAGCTAGTAAAGTTTTTGTGAGTATATAACCCCTGCAATCAAAGTCAACCTCGTTGCAATTGCAAATCTTTTCTGTTGCACACTACGTGACATACTGGGAAAAAAGTCTGCAGAGCGCATGTTTATGAAACTCATTTAGGATGATTTCACATATTGAATTTTTTTTTCCGCTGAAGTAATAGTTCCACGTTTAATGAAAATTTAATTGTAAATTTCATATTATAGAGTAAAACAGATATAACATTCTTTTTAAAAATATTCATGGTGTCGTATAAATTACATGTATACCATTGTTTGGGTTTATTGAAGATTGAGTGTTAAAAAGGATATTTGGTAATAATGGAGGGGATAGGCATAAATTATTCCACATTGAAGACATTCTTCACCACTTCATGCGAAATGAAAATTTAAATCAAAATGATGCACAATGTGTTATTTTCCAACTTCAGATAAGTTCACCAGATTCGTAAAGTACATAGTATGATAAAAGCATTGCAGTTATATACCTAATATTTCGCAGCTTAGTACATGGAATCCGAAATAACTAAAAAAGAACATTGAGGAAAAATCTGTTTGGTATTAAGTTTCATTAAAAAATAATGATTTCGCCAGTTTTACAAAGCAACCTCTCTGCAACTGAATGTGTAACACTGTTGAGCAATTATAATGACGTTATGCAAGCTCCAGTGTTTGCTGTTTTCGAGCTACTTAGTAAGAAATGTGAACATAACGAACACCAATCATTCTCAAATGTCCATTTAAACGATACAAATTATCAGCGGAGCCAACTTGGACCTCTGAAATAGGTGGGATCAGGTGCCATGGAGGAAAAAGCATTCCCTGCCGACCGGTCACCCCCGCCGTGCGTTCCTTGTTATTGTCTTGTAAACGGCAAAATCCGTAGTCAATTCAATGTGAAAATAATGGCCGTTTTTGTGAAAGACATCAGACAACATTGACCCGATGTCAGTTTGTTTTTCAAACAAGGTCACTGTATCAACCATAGAATTTGCAAAATGTTGACTAAACGAGATTGTTTTCCTTGTATCATCAACTTATCTGTCAATAGCCTGTCTCATTTTAGAAATTGTTCTTACGTAGAACATGATCTTGGGTATCGAATCAACTGGGAGACATAAACACCATATACAGGTGATAATGGTGTGCACTTTATAGGGTTGACGATCTAATTTTACAATAGAATTGAGCACTTTTTAACACATTTCACTTTACTTGCTGTAAATTATTAGATGAGAAGAGAAAGTCGAAAACTCTTTTTTTACACTCAATGAGGCTATCATATAAGTTTTTCCTTCCATTTTCGTTTCAGACTTGTGCGACCTGGGTGAAAAAAGGTATTTATGAATCTCATGATTATTTTTGCTCAAAATACAGTGGGTTTATTTTTTATGTTAATCTTTAGTTTAGCTCACGTCTTGTGTTCAATTGTACAGTAATCACCTTAAGTTTGGTTATTTCTAATTGCAACATAGATTCATTCATACAAGTTTTCAATTTAGACACTTAACATATGCACAACAGAAAAAAAGATGACAAATAAGTGATGTCATTTAAGCAAGTTATGATATCTTATCAACCAGAATATTCAAAACTTATAGAATAAATGGCATTTAAAAATAGGTAAAAGGAACTCATCAGAAATCAGATACTATGAAAGCTTTAAAAGAGTTCTAGTAATAAAAAAAGATAAAGTTTTCTCTATCACTTGAAATTCAATCATTGTGCACAAACCCTCTGTCCTGTCGACATGCTTATCTTACGACTACAACAAAAAGTATATATCCTTCTAATAGCTTAACTTTTTTTGAAACAATACCTACACGACATCATTGTTATCCATGTAATCATATACAAATACGATGCTAGGCAGTCAAATAAAAAAAATAATGCCATTACAGTCAACAACTACACATTTTATTACAAACAAAAAATCCATAAATGAAAAATGATCAATCAAAATGCAACAAAAAAGAAATAAATAATATCTAAAATACCTGTATTAAACATATTTTACAAAAGTAATAATGAGCTTAGTAAAATCAATTGATAGCAAACAAAATCAAGAAAGTCAAAACGTTTCTGGCAAGAGCTAGAAAGTTTATTGCTATTACCCGCTAAACCCGATGATACTGGATAATCAGAGAACTTGTTTTTATTCACAATAGGTTTTGCTTTCCGTGTTGTTGGTGCAACTGTCACTCTCTCAATTTTTACTGAGGTTGCATAATTTGATTTGGGTTTCATTGTAGTTATTGGTTTTTGTGTGCTTGTCGGTTTCTGTGTACTTGTTGGTTTTTGAGTTGATTTTGATGTTGTTTTCTGTATTGATTTTGGTGCTGCTGTTGTCGTTGTTGCCTTTGCTGCTTTCGTTGTCCGTACTTGTGTTGTTGTGGTACTTGCTGCTAACTTTGTTGATGTTGGATTTGTTGTCTTGTGTGCTGTTTGTGTTGTTGGTTGAGCTTTTGATGACGTAGGCTTCAAGCTACTCGTCGTTACAGGTGTTGTTGTCGGACCTAAATAATAAAATGTATATAACATGTATAAATATTGTATTTTCTGTCTTGTATTGAACCCTACTGTAAAGATCAGAGATCTACAAAAAGAATTCCAAAATTTCTTTAAAGTGAACTTACTGGCTGTAACATTCCATTGTCTGATTATCGAATTGTCATAATCTTTCCTATAAAAACTCATGGCAGGACTGTAGATGTGGTAAATATGCCGCGTGTAAGTTGGCCTCGATATGGCTTCTCGTCGTCTGCGCCCCGATGGAGCAGCAGTTGTAGCTGCAGCTGTTGAGTTACAACTTCTGTCACACTCGGCGTCTTTTTCCGTCAACAAACACACAAACGCCTTACAATGTAAAAACACCTCATCGAAATTGACAAACTTAAATGTTTGGTAGCGATATCCAAAGGAGGTCGAATTTAATGGAAAGAACCCAAGAGTTGGATCATATTGACACCTGGAAAAACACAATAAAGTTGGAAATAAATGATACATAATAGATGATAGGTTTGATATTTAATATGTGTCCACTAAGGATGCGACTTCTAATAGCATAAAAGATAACAAAACAGAAAAAATGCCTTTTCAACCAAATATTGATGCATATTCACATCATACTATTTCATAACTGTACATCAATAATAGGTAGTATTTGTAAGGAAATGATTTGTAGAGGATAAACACGTCTTTACACAAGTAATAAATACGAGGGTTGTTCAGAAAGTTCGTGTACTACCGTCATAACTTTTTTACTTAACGTCATATTATATCCAAATTTGGAAGAATTATTTCAACAGTAAATTCATATGATGTGTACCAAAAATTTTTAATATCTCGTGGTTTATTTCAAACTTATTTAGACTTAAAAAATGCGAAAATCGGATCACGGAGCAGGTCAAACTTTTGTAATTTAAAATCAAGACACTAAATAATGTCTGAAGTCATATCTTCTGTAAAATGACACAAAAACGGAAAAATTCTACACGTTCAAATAAAGAATTGTTTCGTCGTTTTTGATTCCAAATTATGACTTAATATTTTTGCTTCGTTGAAAAGAAATCAGTTTCAGAAGATAGGTAATCCTCATTGAAAAAAGGCAAAAAAGATGACGTCGTAGAGCATTACGGAGCAGCAGTTAACCATACAATTTTGTTTTGTACTCTGGAAAACTCCAGAAAAAAAACTCTGAAAATGCCGGAGAAAGTAGGAAATATGTTAAAAGCGAGCCATGCATTTCTGTGTACATGGTACAAGCGGTATTTGAATGATAGACTACTCTGCTTAGACGATGGTGATCTGTGAGAAAACGGATTACTAGTATCTGTAAAAATCTTATCAAAAACATTGAAAAATTAGTAACGTCATGCTAAGAGTTTGGCGCTTCACAGATGCTGATCTTGTGAAAGCACACTTATGCAGTGAAAAAAATATAACATTGACAAACAAAATGATGCTACTGGAACTTGTTAGCAAAATATATTTCAAGTGATAGAGAAACGTTCTTAATGAGTGCACTGGTATTGGGCAATATTGTGTGAAATGTATAGGGATAGTATTTTTGAGAATCTCATGTCGGTATGTTTTTGACGTTACAGTGTTGTTGAGTTTACTCCGTGGTTACAAAACGTGTTGATTTTAAAATTGAATAACATGAATTCTGTTAAATCACATGGAATGAAAATTCACAATTAAACAAAATAAAATATTTTTACATATGATAATGTGCTCATTTTAAATTTCTTGATGATAGTATAATGAAGTTTGGCATAGTCCACGAACTTTCCGAACAACCCTCGTACTATACTTATTTTTCTCTTTTTCATTTTGTTTGCATGAAAATAAATGAATAATATCAATACAAAAAAGCTATACTGACTTGTTCTCAAATAGTGGGTAATTCGTGGGGTCTGTTTCAGAAGTAGTTGGTGTTGCCACACAATCTGGAACTACTAGCTTAAGGTTGGAGTCCACATTCTCTAAAGTGAGAGCAACATTAAGCCACTCTCCTAGAGTCAGATTCAATGGAAAGTCTGATACAGGGTTGTTAAATGAGTTGTTTTTAAAAAAATCCATTCTTATGTTGAAAGTTCCTGGAGCTTTCTGTGTTACACTTTCTGTTTGAGGAAGCATTCCTTGATCTGTATCCAAATCTCGTGGGAACTCGCACGAGACTTCTACTCGGTACGTATTCACTCTATAAACATTTCCTTCAGTTGATGTGTAGTCATATCGAATCACATTGGTGTAAATAATGTGAGTTTCGTTTGTCTGAAATTGAAAATGAATGAAAGTGAAAAATACAGATATAGATTGTTCTTAACTTCTTAGATATTGAAACTAAGACATTTATTATGGTTTGTATGCACATAAAATTAACATCATGGGAAAAACCCGTAAATGCTTAATTCATGTATACTTCACTAACTATTATAGTGTTTTTAATAATAGTACCGTAACGCGGGTTCCACATTCGTCGAATGGTATACTAATTGAAACAAAATTAGCATCCGTTGATTTGACGAGATTACAGACACCAGTGGTTTGGTTGAAAATTGTTAGAAACTTCTCTTCTAAGTTCTTGTCATTCTGACGACTGAACAAAGCCTTGATCTGCCCATTGGCACATTCTAAGGTTGGTATCGGTGCTGTAATTATACAAAATGACTTTTTCAAGAAATGCAATTTGGAACACCCAGGATTATAACCAAATGAATGAAAACCAATGAAAGACAAAGAACAAGAAAGAGAAACAATTTATGTAAAATGGATATTCTCTTACGAATTGGCGGTGAATTGTCCAATATTGTACAGGCTACACTGGCATACTCATCTTGCCCACGACAATCAATGGCTGCCCCTGTTGTAGAGGTACAATCTCGGATACTGTTTTCGTTACCTTGGCATTCTACGTCATCCAGAGCGTATGTGGAACTAACGTTTTGACGGACATAATTAATTTCAATCGGAGAACCAGCTCGAGCATCCACCGGACTGAAATTTAAAAAAAAAATTATAGTCTGTTCCATGGTACCAAAGTCAAAACGTTTTACATTTTGTCTCAGAATACCTGGCCTTTTCATACTAGGACTGATCAATATATCATTTTCCCTTACTTTCTGTTTTGATAGCAACCATCAATTTGGATTGAAAGGAAACTTTAGATTATCTCCTTATACGACCCAAATAAAATTAATTTGATTTCTGAGCTGAGTTATAACATATTCCAAAAGTTTTTGAAAGAGAAGAGTCCTATGTTTCTCCTGAAAAAAAATATTGATAATTCAACTTTAGTATTAGTTTTAAATGATAAACAATAATACTTTATTTACTTTTTTCCCCCAACTTTTATATAATTTTTCTTTACACTTCAATTTACCATGATAGTTTTTTACTCTGGAAGTTGTTGTCAGTTTAAATATCAATTTAAAAAAATCAAATCTGAGTGTACAAAATCTAATTAGAATTAGACTTCTAGGATCTGCACCGTATACACTTGCGGATCTAAGAAGTCTGATTTTAATTAGATTGAGTAAACAATTTATATAACACCTTTCAAATCTTTAAAAAAAAAATCGCATTTGAAAATCCCACTTCCGTGTACAAATTAAATATAAAAAAAATAAACTTCACATGGAGAAAAGTTTGACTTACAAAGGTTAAAAAAACTTTCACACTTTGATTTAATATAGTTTACTAAATATTTGATACATGTATTTGGATTTACTTTTTTAAAATTTAAAGTTTTGAAATTTTACTTACGTATACTGTGCAAATATTTTTGAGTCAAGCAACACAGTTTGAGAAGGTTTTTCTTTTTTAGACAATGAGATTTTGTCGTAGAACATAAATAATATTGTGGGGTAAATGTATAATTGTTTATGAAAAAATGATTGAGGTTATGAATAAAGCATTGAACTTTATTTCGTTTTACCGGATTCTGTTTTATATATGCAGGTACTTATTACATTTTCAACAGAGAAATACAGTAATTTATCCATCAAATTCTTCAGGTGCTGCGCTTTTGCATATTATTTTTAATGAATATTTTGTTTAGTTGTTGGGTTTATGATTTACTTGTTGTACAGTTATTGAGTTAATAATTCATCAGATCTACAGTTGTTAGGTTAATAATTCATTAGATGTACAGTTGTTTGGTTAATAATTTACTTGATGTACAGTTGTTTGGTTAATGTTTTTAAGCTTTCTGAAATATGCTTTTCAAAAACAAAAAAGTTTAATAATAATCAACTACAACGAATCACGGAAAATGTTTTTGAAATGTATACAATACTTACTCAAAACAGAGCATTCTACAGATCACCTGGGCGTCGGCTCTGCCCCAGCGGTCATCGCAGATGGCGTTCCATTGATTGTTAAGGTAAACCTCCACGAACCCGAGTCCTCGCTGGTCTGTGGGGCCCACAATTCGTACGTCCCAGTTTTGGGGGGCAGTTGGAGCAGTAGCTGTAAGGTAATATAATGGCAAAAATAGAACTAAAGTTGGTAAGAGTGATCTCCCCTTTATCTGATTTGTCGTCTTTTATACATGTATAATTAATGACAAATTTATCCATCAAACCTGGTGTCTGTGTAACTTTTAATATGCCCTTGGTATAGATTATAAGACATTCTAAATAGGTATGCGAAAAAAAGTAGCTTCAGTGAACTTGTGAAATTACACTGTAAAACATAAAGTTATTTCCGGTTATACACGTTAGTTGGTCTGTTTCATTATGCTGTCAGACATCTGCAACAGTGAGCAACCTTATTTCCGCTGTGTATTTATTTTGTTTATTTTCAAGGCTGAATAATACATGTATTCATTAACATTATTACTATTTCATTAGGTTTTTGACTTCTTTCACCATTATATATATATATATATATATATATATATTAGGTTTCTGACTTTCCCACTGTGCAGTTGTTGGGTTTGTGACTAATTTAATTGCTGTACATTTGTTGTTTTAATTTACTTGATTTTAATGACTTACTAGCTGTACAACTGTTGGACTTTTCATTTACTTGATGTACAGTTTATGGGTTTGTGACTTACTGCACTTACTGTAAAGTTGTTGGGTTTATGATTTATAACAATTGTTGGGTTTGTGACTTTCTTGATCTACAGTTGATGGGTTTGTGTCTTATTAGTTGTACAGTTGTTGGGTTTATGATTTATAACAGTTGATGGGTTTGTGACTTACTGTAAATTTGTTGGGTTTATGATTTATAACAGTTGTTGGGTTTGTGACTTTCTTGATCTACAATTGATGGGTTTGTGACTTATTAGCTGTACAGTTGTTGGGTTTATGAATTACTTGATGTACAGTTGTCAAGTTTGTGACTCACTTGATGTACAGTTGTTGGGTTTGTGATTCACTTGATGTACAGTTGTTGCGTCTATGATTTATTTGATGTACCATTGTCTGGTTTGTGACTTACCTGCTGTACAGTTGTTGAGTTTGTGATTCACTTGATGTTTGTGACTTACTTGCTGTCAGTTGTTATTTTGTGATTTTCCTGCTGTACAGTTGTTACATTTGTGACTTACTAGCTATACAGTTGTTGTTTTTATTATTTCCTCTCTGGACAGTTGTTGAGTTTGTGACTTACTTGCTTTACAGTTGTTGAATATTTTATTTATTTGCTGTCTGTTGTTTGGCTTATGATTTATTTGCTGTATAGTTGTTAGAATTTTGACATACTTGCTGTACAGCTGTCAAGGTTTATGACTTGCTGTGCAGTTGTTAGGTTTGTGACTAGCTTGCTGTGCAGGTTCCGGGGCCATAAAACTGAGATGAGTTAACTTTTTATCTAAGTCTCACTTTTACAAAAGGTATATGTATATAGTGGAAAAGTGAGACAAAGATCAAAAGTGAGCTCGTCTCAGTTTTATGGCCCCGAAGCCAGTTGTTGGGTTAAGGACTTACTAGCTGAACAGTTGTTGGTTTTGTGACTTAGCTGTACATCTGTAGGGTTTGTTATTAACTTGATATACAGATGTCAGGTTTGTGACTTACTTTCTGTACATTTGTTGCCATGGTTTTTTTTTTTATTTACTCTCTGTAGAGTTGTTGGGATTGTTGCTTACTTGCTGTACATTTGTTATCTTTGTATCTTACTAGCTGTACAGTTGTTCGGTTTTTCTTTTAATATACCCTCTGTACAGTTGTTGTGTTCGTGACTTATTTGCTGTGCAGTTGTTTTTTTTTATTATTTATATACTCTCTGTACAGTTGTTGAGTTTGTGACTTACTATCTCACTGTACAGTTGTTGGGTATATTGATTTACTCTCTGTACAGTTGTTGAGTTTGTGACTTACTATCTTGCTGTAAGGTTGTTGGGTTTTTTTTATTTACTCTCTGTACAGTTGTAGGGTTTGTGACTTATTTGTTGTGCAGTTGTTTTTTTTTTTTTATATTATTATTATTTATTTACTCTCTGTACAGTGTTGAGTTTGTGACTTACTATCTTGCTGTACAGTTGTTGGGTATTTTGATTTACTCTCTGTACAGTTGTTGGGTTTGTTGCTAACTTGCTGTACATTTGTTATGTTTGTAACTTACTAGCTGTACAGTTGTTCGGTTTTTCTTTTAATATACTCTCTGTAAAGTTGTTGAGTTTGTGACTTACTATCTCGCTGTACAGTTGTTGGGTATTTTGATTTACTCTCTGTACAGTTGTTGGGTTTGTGACTTATTTGCTGTGCAGATGTTTTTTTTTTTATTATTTATTTACTTTCTGTTCAGTTGTTGAGTTTGTGACTTACTATCTTGCTGTACAGTTGTTGGGTTTTTTGATTTTCTCTTTATACAGTTGTTGGGTTTGTGACTTATTTGCTGTGCAGTTTTTTTTTATATTATTATTATTTATTTACTCTCTGTACAGTGTTGAGTTTGTGACTTACTATCTTGCTGTACAGTTGTTGGTTTTTTTGATTTACTCTCTGTACAGTTGTTGTTTTTTTTAATTTACTCTCTGTACAGTTGTTGGGTTTGTGACTTACTATCTTACTGTACAGTTGTTGTTTTTTTTTAAATTTACTCTCTGTACAGTTGTTAAGGATGCGCGATTTTATCAGTATACCAGTATATCGTGATTTTTTATTGCGTGATACGTATCATGATACAGAGACAAAAATACTGGTATTTTGTACACGATTATAAATTCAAAGAAATTACTCATTTATCATGTTTATTTATTTGAACTATTAAATAAAAATTACATGAAGTGTAAAAAAAAAATGTTGAATAAAGTTAAACTATGGCATCCAAGCATGCTTTATATTATATAAATAAAATTGAAATAAAGTAAAGTTATAATTTTACAGTGTATTTGTAAGAAAACTTAAGGAAATTTATTTGAAATTGTAGTAAAAAATCCATATAAAAATATCCCGATTTTACCGCGATATTTTAGGAAAAAATCGTGATATATCACGATACGAAATTTTTGGCGATACCCATCCCAAACAGTTGTTGGGTTTGTGACTTACTTGCTGTACAGTTGTTGGGTTGGATGGTAGCTGGAGCGCGGGTAGTCGGTGTCCCTGTTGGGGCCGCAGTCACACCTGATGTACGGCAGTGGACCCCCACATCCTCATTGTGACCACAGTTGGTGTTACCCCAACCTGAAAACTGACATTGGTCGATCGACTGTTCTGTGCCGTCACAGTTCACGTCATCCATCCATATCCGGCCCGTTCCCGCGCCAAATGTTCCATTCGTAATGGCCGTTCCTCCCTCACTTACAAAAAAAATTAAATTAAAAATTAATAATTTCTATGCTCCAAATGCTGTATCAATTAATTATAAAATAAAGCCAAACTTTGGATGATAATTTATACAACTAAAATAAAAAAAAAATAAATTATGTAGTTTTGTTTGAAATACAAGTAATAACTATTTTTCTAAAAAAAAATTACATTTCCTTTATTATGATCATTAGATCTGTGTATAAAGGAAACTTGAATGAGATCTATAAAATGTAATTACCGCTATCATCTCTTTATTGTTGAGTACATAATATTACACTCATGTGAAAGCGCCTAGACAAAATCAATACCAAAGTGCTAGCAAGCCAAGTACATGTATCATACCATGACAAAGATTTACTATCAAAAACCTTGCTTATTAGTTCGATATATAAATAGTCACGATTCTTAGCGTTAATTGGAATGTTGCAATGGGATTTCTTTTTCGGGGGGGTGGGGGGGGGGGTGGGGGGGTCGATTATTATTACTAGACCGCCACACACGTATAAAATGCATGTAAAATATATAAAACCAAATAAAACTGTTTCAGTTTTTCTATAAACTACTTAGGAATAGTAAATAAAGGAAATAACTTTAAAAAATTATAATGTATTGAAATTTGGCAGAAATAATTTTTTCCTTCCCATTGAAATTTAAATACATGTAACGTCTTTTCTGAATAATTCAGACAATTCATAATTCAAAAATAAAAAAAATCGATGCTTACTTGAATCCCTGCATCCTACACACCACCCCAGCATCCGCCGTGTCAAATTGGTCATCACACACCGTCCCCCATGTACCGTTATAGAGCACCTCTACTCTACCCTGATTAGCTGTCGCCCCGGTACCACTGAATCGTACCGAAATGCTCTGTCCTTCAATAATAATAATAATAATAAAACATTAACAAATAAATACATAAATAAATTTCTATATGGTAGATCTTTTATTTGAGAGAGAGAGAGCACCAATTCAAATCGATGATAAGTCATGTGTATAAAAATTTTGTAATCCATTACATTCATTCTGTAAACAAATTATCGAAACGTGTATGTTCTTGCTATTAGAATTAAGAAAATGAATTCCTTACCTGTAATCACGGGAAAAACAAGCACTAGTAATGTAAAAATCATTATCCCTACATTCTCCATGGTCATCTGTTGACAAAATCATAAAGCCATAAGGGCCTCGCTCGGAATCAGTGCAACAGGATGGCAAGACCTACATTGAAAGACTGTCAACATTCACACATGCGCAGTAAATTAAACTGGAGCATTTCCAATTCCATTAAATATTTATTTTGAAAGATTTTAAATGTCCGTCTATAAAACTTCAAAGTTATATCATAACAGTACGGGATGAGTCAAAATAGGCGTCTACTTTCACATTCTAATACCTTAGTAACGAACATAAACAACATCGCACGACATCCCGAACTTATTACCGAGCCCGATTTTAAATTGATAAATAAATTTTTAATTTTGGTGATCATACTAAGCATAAACAAAATTTCATATTTTATAAATATGCACTTTAATATGCAATTTTTTTTATAGAGTATGATGATTGTTAAAATGAATGTACGAACCAGCATGCACAATAAATTCATTTGTCCTGCATCCAGAAATGAAAGCAGTGCAGTATAAATTTGCATTGAAATAACCAGCGGTTAAAATTATATGACAGCAATGGAAAATGGAAAACGCAGCAATGAACGAAATTTCATGAATAATTCTATTTATTTATTTTATGGAAAATAGCAATTTCAAAAACTGAAACACTTTTTAATGCGCACTTTCCACATACTCTCCCAAGGGATTCTATTAAAAAAATACAAGCGGACGTTTTAAACTAATTTCTGCTACAATGATCACAGTGGTCATGGCACTGGATATTATTTGTAATTATGAACTCTCCGGTTGTGACTCCTCATCATCGTTCGTTACCAAGATTGTCAATATCCTCGACATTGTCATTGATAACATCTTCGGATGAATTATTGATTAATCTTTAGTGAAATAATGACTGTATTCTGTGCTTTCTTACACATGCGCATTGGAAATGTCAACCTTTAAATGCCCAGAAGACAGTAATCAATAAGTTACATGCTAGAAATATTTCGGAGACGGCTTCAAATTAGCAGGATTCCAAAATTCCGCAGGTAAGCACGTACCTTTATTGCGTTGTAGATTTCCTTAGTAACGCATGTAAACAAAAGGGCGTGACGAAAAATATGGCTGCCCCCGTGTTGCACATTAGAAAAAAAATATCTAAAAATAATCAGTTGACTTGTTACGCAATAAATAAAGGTAAGTGTATATTGTTTATTTACAGCCTTTCAAAGGGTAGATTTTGAAGTATCATCGAATTTTTTTTTATGAAACGGAGGAAGAAAATGGTCATTACTTATTAAAAGTTTGAATACACAGGCCGGTGAATAACAGGCGAGCATGTTGACACAAGTTCCACGAGAAGACTTGTTTACATTTCTTGTAAAAACTTTATGATAAACCGTAAACATGGGCTTTAAATCCATTTCACGTGTCATTATTTGTACACATAAATAGATATATTTTCGCTAAGCTTTAGATGTAGGAAAAAAAATAACACAAAAATTGTACCCGTCATTAGTGCATTACTCATGAAGGCTGATTAAATACCTATTATTTGAAGTGCGCAAATTAGGTTTTAAATATTTGGCGATTGTGTATTGTCCAATATTTACAACTTAATCTCTTTCTCAGTTCCAGTCGGTATGTCAGAGAAGAAATGCCACATCATACCTTCCTTTTAACTTATTTTATCATCCTGGTTGTTTTTCCACTACATGCAGGTAATTTGTTTTACTTTATTTGTGAATTTGGTTATTCATTTCCCTTCTGTTTTAATTAGTTAACTTAAAGTACGTACTACTACAACCAAAAAAAAAAAAAATAAATAAATATTATAAATTTGCAAAAAAAAAAAGTATTTTAAAAGTTTCATATTTTGACAGTTTCTCATTTTCTGCATGATAACTGAGTCAAAGGAATATTCACATATTTCTTGCATAATGCGACCGACAAACAAAATTTTGTTGCTCGTTTTGAAACATTGTATAAATAAATTAACTAGTGGACGAAGCTTGGTGTTTGTGGACTTATATCCCCTCACCTTGAATCGGTCGAAGACAAAGTTTTGGGGAGCATAGTAGTTAAATCCCGAAAACTGGTCGATTTTTAGAATGTAAGGACGCATTTTTTCAGCATATGCTTCTTCATTTCATTGAAATATTTATCAAAAATCAAAATATCCATAGATAACTAGCTTTCAATAAATAAATGATATATTCAACGTTTTACAGTGAATGTAGCATTCTTTTTACTCTCTACTCGTATGAACCGTTCTAGTTTTGTTTTTAAAATTTTATGCTTCTCTCTTTCTCTAAAAACAATAAGGCCACCCGAACACAGTTGTGCCACTGCATGGTATTTGAATGAATGATTAAATAATTAGGAAAATAGTAATAAGAAAATAATAGTCATACAAAAGGGGCAATTTGGAAAGAAATGTATTGTTTATTTACCACAGTGTTATCAATGTAAAATTTCGAAAATTTCAATTCAAATAATGCTTTATTCTCTGTAAATCATTAACTCACGTGCAAATAGTCAGACTTAAGTTCCTTCTAAAAGAATCTCTGGATTTCGCTAGGTCTGGGTACATTGAACCCTGAAAACGTTATATAACCGTTTAAATAGATAAGGCAACAACTATTAGATTAATGACCTATTAATCACTTTATTTTTCATAAATTGTTTTAAAGGTCATTTTTCAACCTATTGATAGAATCAAATATAGAAGTGGTATAGTACACTTAAGTCACGAACGTGAGTTCGGGTACTTTCGGTTTAATATACGTAATTGAAAAACAAAAGGGGATCTTTTGTATGCAGACACAAATCTAATTTTGATCAGCTTGGATACTTTTAAGATAATCATTAAGTACATAAATAAATAAAACTGGTTGCTACATCATTAGACAAGTAATATTATGATAAGTTTAAAGAAGAGTACGTTTCCTGGAAATTTACGACTTTATGGTTTTATTTATTAGCCTCACAGACGTGTTTCCCCAGATGTCAGCCGTCGGAGTATTGCGGGAACAGTACGGAGGGAGGAGGACCGACCTGTCTAGGTGTGTGTTCAGTTTGTTTACTTACACCACAAAACACTGAGTAAATTCAATTATATTACCCGAATTATGAAGGAGGATTGTCCAAAGTTATAAATTTTGATACTATGCAAGCTTTGTGTTTAAATGTGTTCAATGAGATTATACACCTAGACTAGCTAGATATATGCACTGCAAACAGCAATAAAACGCCTCTCTCATGTATATATATGTACACAAGTAAGTCACGTTAAAGTTGATGCACTATTGAGTCATAAAATCCGAAGGTTGTAAACATTTGAAGAGATGCCAACAATTTTTTTATTCAAATGGAATTCGATATTTCAATTTTAAATAAGAATATGAAAGGAGGGAAAATTCATAAGCGAAATCGTCTTCAAAATATTTTTTAAAATTACAGAAGAGTATACTCGGACACTTTCTTCTTTAAGATATGCGATTAATATCAATATAATTCTCTTGAGCATTTCTTACTGAAGTGTATACATAAACAGTAAAATTCCTTAGTTTTCACAAAATTGTATATAGTTAGAAAAATATTTGGAAAAAAAAATACGACCAAAAAAAAACTAAACAAAAATAAAACAGCAAAACTAATAATAAACTAAACAAGCAAAATCAGCAAATTGGAATTAAAAAAAACAACAACAACACCACCCCGCCAAAAAAATTTGTTAGGAATCAGTTGAGATATTAGTTCCTGGTACGTACATGCATTAAAAATTTTATCATTACTTTAAAAATCGAAAATCTTTCGCAAAATCTTTTAATTAAAAGATTAAGGTTCTATTTATACTTATTAAAAAAGTGCATTAACACTGTAAAAGATCAGTTTTCTATCCCAGTAAACTGTTTAAAAATGCTCTCTATTCCAGCTTGTAATGTTGCCTGTGACGGATGTACGGGGCCCGGGCCAGACGCATGCGTCAACTGTGCTGACCAGTTCTTTAAAGCTGGGACAACCTGCAGAGGTAAAATATAATAAATAAATAATAAACATTTTTTTCAAGTAATTTTCTTCACAGCTTGTGTTATACAATCTAAATCAAGTCACAAGTTTTCCTGTGCATTATTTCAGTAACAGTGTCTTAAGCATTAAATATGAAGTTTGCTCAACAAATTAAATTTTTCCCTTTTTAACATTTCACCAGGTTGCAATATTGCCTGTGATCGTTGCACTGGACCTGGTCCGGAGAACTGCGACACGTGTGCAGCTGGCTTTTACCCCGTAGCCGGGATCTGTAGAGGTGAATCTTTCTGGATAATCTTTTTTGAGAAAAATTTACAAATACATATTTTAGAAACACCCCCCCCCCTTTTTCCAACACACCCCAAATACATCATTTCGACTGTTGGTCTTTTTAAAGAAAAAAAATTATCTTCGACAATTTTACCATGCATTCAATTTGACAAGTTTGAATGAACCCTGAACAAACATTCTATAAATCACAACAACTGCATAATACAGATACATGTATATTTTAATACTGTGGGTACTGTATACAATACATGTATATACTAAATACATGTATGCAGTTTATTTTCCAGAATTTTTACTTCGAATACATCATAAATATGCTTTTAAAAGTAGGAATAAGGGTGGGTACACAAGTACCTATATCAAATTCAAGATTGATAAGGTTTCTTTTAATTTTTTTTTATTCTAACAGGTTGTGAGGACGGGAAATTCGGGGTGAATTGTACTGGTACCTGTCACTGTTTGAAAGGAGTAGAAGACTGTAGAAAAACTGACGGATTCTGTAAATCTTTCATCTGTGAATGGGGCTGGTCAGGAGTGCCTTTCTGTCAAACACGTACGTTAAGTTTAATTTATCTATAATGTAAAATTGCTTTGATCTGCTCACACGCTTTGACAAGAAAGGATCTGATTGATTAATTCAGAGTTCATCTAAAATGACCAACATGTATGTGAGCGGACCGCGATCTAAATTTAATAACACTGTTTTTCGTATAAAAGTCTTCAAAACTATGGAAAACAATATTTCTTTCCTAAAAATTTAATCATTTCCAGTCCAAAAGTTGATTTTTGATCTTCGTCACTTTTGAAGCTTGTAAACCAAATTTTTATGGAAAGAACTGTGTATATGAATGCCACTGCCCTGTGAATGACACCTGCAGTAACATCAACGGACTCTGTTCTTCCGGAAAATGTCACCCTGAATATACCGGTTCGGGTTGTCAGAAATGTAAGTTTATATCAGAAATCAAAAACAAAACATCAGAATATTAAAATTCCGCAAAAAAAAAATCTGAAAAATTATATTATTAATACCAACTTGATTGGTTATTTAATAGTTTTTTTAATGTAGTACCTGCATTTTCAACTGAAAAGTTTCATAATTAAAAAAATCAATTGGATAAAATTAAAATATGATACCCCTCCTTTTCAGTGCGTCCGAAATTAAGGGACCCCCCTGAGATAAGTGACAATGTATGTGGCAATATGACTGTTACCTTCCACGAATGGGTGAGGGACCTTGACATAGGAGATGGCCCCGTGGGAGAGTACAGGTATTGTACATTTCATACACGTGCTGAATTTTCTTCAAACTTACATGCCACTTATAAGTGAAATATTTAAAAAAAAACCCAATTTTTTTTTTAGCTAATTCAAATTTTAAAAAAATAGATTTATTAGAAAACATAATTACATTGCAAGTGATATCAATATATTTATTCCAGATTGGAAGTTTTGGTATTTAACTCATCGGATAGTTGGACTTTTGTACAAAATTATAGGAGTTTGTCTTCGGCCAGTGTTTCGAAAACTTTTTCTGGCCTCGATGTGGATTCTCTGTACAGCTTCCGGGTCACCCTTGTTATGAGTGACGAAGATGGGAAATTAATGACAGACGTGGCCCCGGGGTTTCCGAGTCAATTCTACCCTACCACCTGTATAAGTAAGTTAACTGAAAAAAAATATAAAATATGATGTTGCTATCCAGAAAAAGACAAGAAAGGCTAAGCCCCCTTTCAGGCCCTGATTTTGCGTGTGTCTTAGTACGATGCGATAGTTCATGATCAAAACCTGTTGTAATCTCTATTTCAAAAACCAAAAAAAAAGATTTGATTTTAAGAGATGGGACACACAGAGGTCACAGGAAGGTCAAAAAATATGTATATTTCCGAATTTTCTCACTTTTATTCAAATTTTCATCAATTTTGAGGCATTTTCTTTCTCAGAAAACACAGAGAATAAGCTTGCCTATCTACCAAGTTTACATTTGCCATGCACTAATTTCAGATACGTCTTGTATATGAAAATATCATTTAGGCAAGCTTGTACTCTGTGTGTTCCAAAGTGAAAAGTATTGTAAATGTGACCAAATTCCATCAGAATTGAGGAAATTTGATCTAATTTGTCACCCTCTTGTAGCCTCCAGGTACACTTTGAATTAAAATAAATACTGATTTTGAAAACAAGCATCATTTAAGGTAAATAATTATTCATTTTCACAATTTTAACTGTTTATTGATATTCATATCAAACATGGACCCAAATTCAGCCATTACCATACCTTGTCCTTTTATATTAAGCAAGAAAGTAAATAAATGTTGTTTTTACACAGTAGAAACTACTTCTGGTAAGTTCTAAAAACACATATACCTATCATAAGCATATACAAGAAAAACTGCGCGCACTTCTGAATTATATATCTACTACATGTAGTATATAAATTGACTTGGCATATAGACTATGCAACCTAATATGATTTTCGAGTCGTCTCTTATCTCTCTGCTTAAAATATACTTGTTGAATAAAACATTTATGTCACTACACTGTACTATACATTTACTTTATATGTATATATATATTTGTATCTAATAAACAGAACTAAAAATCAATGCACTACATATTTCTGCGCTATGAAATGTGGCTCTAAACTTCCAAGGACTTCCGTACCGGTGATATTTCCTAGTTCTGAAACATTTTGATCTTTGGAGTCCGTCATTGAAAAAAAAAAAATAATCATGTATCTTATGTAAAAGACACTGGTTTATTGATTTTAAGTTGAAATAAGTTTTTTGCAGAGAATGTATGTAATGTTATACATGTAGTATAGAAAAAAGGAGTTCAAAATTAGAAAATTGAAATAATTGTTTCATTTGCGCTCTAACATCAGATACATGTAATTGATCAAATATTCTTGCAAAACATATCAGAATTCATGGACAAAACATTTTAAATATTCTAACCACGCTGTCATAGAGAAGAGGAGATGGATGTTATGAATCTGTTGGGTAAGATTATCTCGCTTGACACATAGATTTTCTTGACCAAATCCTGCCTGACGAGGATTTGTATTCTCAGACGTCCTCCTTTTCTTTACAAATACCCTTCAAATCTTGCATACAGACTTGATTATTTAAAGCCAACCAACCAAGAAAGAAAGAAAAACATTAAAATATATCTACTATATAGAATATGTATCATGTTTTGAAATTGTTTTCATGCTCTAAACACGAATGGCGCTATCACTAGACAGATTCTGTACATGAACGCTGCACTAATAAATATATCTATATTGATAATATACGAGTGTTAAGGTGTTTGTTTACAAATGATTACTTGAGTACCAGTTTCATGAAATCTTAATTGGTATTTAGATAATTATTTTAGTTTCTTTTTCAGTTCCTACTACAACAACACTGAGTCCCCCGACCCCAGCCCCCACACCTCCCCCAGGTAAGTATTTTTGTCAAAAATCAATATTTCGGGTACATTTATCAATTACAAACAAATAGACAAAACTGACATAAAAAAGTAAAACAAGCAAGAAAAACATCACTTTTCATATATATGTGACGAAACATTTAAAATTTTGATAAATTAATAAATCAATAACTTCGAAATTTAAATATCAAATCGATTACATGTATTTGAGCCGACAGTCTGTGCATACTTTCGGTGAATAAATTTACGCTCTACGATTGATTTATTTCAAGAAAAAAGTAAATCATTAACATCTATCATTTAGATAATTCAAATGGATTTTACATATTATTTTTGTTCAGTGCATTGGTGCAAATCAGTTTGCAGTGATACTTGGCTTTTTACAGGATCATTATTCGAAAAGTTCGAAGTCATCTACGATTCAGTAAACAATGTCATTTCCGTAAACTGGGCTGGGAAAAACTACAGTAACAATCTTGGTGACGTCACAATCACGTACGGGATAGTCGGTATCGGAGACTGCAAGGACCTCAACTTGACTAATGAAATATCGAGGTAACCCAGACCAAAAATTGAGAAATTCCACATTATAGATGTCATTGATTTTTTTTATTGAGTTGTCTCTTTTTTGCCCTTTTTGATAATTTTCTCAAAGAAATACTTCAAACCGAACATTTCAGAACTGGTGGAACAGTAGGTGCTTTCAGTTTAAGTGGACTGCTGCCTAACAGACGCTACAATGTCAAGGCAGTCATAGAAGTGTTCAATTTTAGTTCCACAGAAAACGATCGAACCATTTCTCGGAACATCACAACGCGAGAGGAATGTGAGTAGACCTAAATCAATGCATGATTGAATTACAGATTTACTGAATACTTCATTATACTATGATGTATCTATAAAGATAGAATTGTCAGGCGCTTAAAATTATACGATTTCCTTCAGCACCATGGGGAGGTGTCCAAAACCTAAGAAGAACTAGCTTTAACGCCACCAGTGTGACGCTGGAGTGGGATCCTCCAGAGTGCGAGCAAAGAGGCGGTAAACTAGTAGGATACCAATATACCCTCCGAATCCTTAGAACTGGGCAGCTAGTGGACAATGGAACAGCTTTACAGCTTCGCGTGACTATAGGAGGGTTAACTCCCTATAGTAATTATTCGTTTGCCGTGGCCTATGAGAATAGTGTGGGGAATGGACCACCGAGTCAATTTCCAACCTTCACAGACGAAGCAGGTATGTACTGCTAAAGCTATTGTAAAGCTTGACTATAGTCGATTTAATTTTTGAAGACTTCTACAATGTTATGTTTCAAAACATTTCAGAACCTGCTGCGCCAGTTATCACCACCATTACTCCGGGGGTGAACAGCATTGAAGTCGCATACACAGTACCCTCCCCAAGTAACGGAATTATCCGAGAGTACGAAGTGTCCTTCAGTACAACTTCAGACTTCAAGGACTTCACACACAAAACGAGCTCTGTAAACTCAGTAACCGTTAGTTCTCTCATCGCTTTCACAACCTACTACATAAAGGTTAGTTGTCTCATGTAAAATGAGCTACTAAATATACTCAGTTACGAAAAAAACCTTTATACAGCTGTGTAAATAATCTTTAAATCCATAATTTCATTTTATTCAAAGGTGCGGGCCAGAACCAAGGCAGGGTTGTGGGGGAACTACAGTGATGTGAATCAGACCCAGACTAAACAGGCAATCCCCGGCCCTCCCGCTAATCTGATTGTTACCCCACTAAATGAAACCTGTCTGAAAATTAGCTGGACTGCACCAAGCTTTCTGGGTGGAGTAATTAATAGCTACAAGGTATACCATTTAACTCCCTATAGTAATTGTTACGGTTAAAATGATGTTATTTTTCTTCTTGACTTTTCTTTGTATGAATAGAATTTTAGTTCATGACTTCAGCTGCTTTTGCTATTTCTTTAGATCGTATGTACAGCTTCTGACGGAAGTACGATTGTCGATGAAAAGACCACAATAAAACCCATTGACGAGGGTACCTCTCATGATCAATGCGGTCTTTTGGTGTATACTCAGTATAAGATCGAGGTATCAGCCAGCACCACAGAAGGAACTGGTGACCCTGCGATAAGTTTTGCGAGAACCTATCAAGGAATTCCAGAAAAACCTCCCGCTCCAAGTCTGAAGAATACCACAGAATCAACCATCACTATTGAGGTTTACCCATTTAAGATCGACACAGGGCCTCTCACTGCATATCAGATTTATGTTTATGAGGTACCGACAGCAGGGCGACGTCGACGGCAATCTGGCGGTCCCTTAGGGATCGTGGTGGCAAGATTTAATGATTCTGAAATTAAAACGAGTCGAATTTTTGTTGTCGGCGACGGTGGTGTTTATGGCGGGAAAACGAATCCTCCATTGAAAAAGAATACAGAGTACGATATATACTACGAGATAGTTAGCACTGTTGGACCAAGAACGCTAACAAGCTTTTCTAAGATGCCTACCTCAGCAACCACTGTATTAATTGTAACCACGGTGGCCCCTATGGTTCCGGTGGTGGTTCCGGTGTCGTCAACAGACAACACACCCGTTATTGTCGCCGTTGTGATCATTCTTCTGATACTCATAATAATCGCTGTAGTTTTCCTTATCCTTTTCCTACGCTCCAGGACCAATCGTTTTTCTCCACCTATGTACGACACGTTTGAAGACGAGAAGAAGGTGGAACTGACCGCGGTTGATGATTATAATTTACAAGAGCACTGGAACACAATCTTTTCGCTAAGGGAGAGTCGGTACATTATTTCTGGTCGAGACCTTGTTCCAGATGACGGATATCATGGAACTATTCTCAACGGGAATATTCCAGGTAATATGACAGCTCATCCCGTTACTTTTCAACAAGAGTTCCACGAACTCCCTCACCAGCCATTGGCGTCCTGGAATGACGCAGTACGCAGCAAAAACTCTAGGAAGAACAGATTTCGTCACTTGTTACCATATGACCATACAAGAGTAGTTCTGGACCCGGATGAAAACTCCAATAGTGATTTTATCAATGCTAATTTTATCAAAGGGTACAACAGGCCGCATGGCTACATCGCCGCTCAGAGTCCCTTTGACGAGGAGACTGTGCTGGACTTCTGGAGGATGTTGTTTCAATATAATATCAAAGTAGTAGTTATGATCACGAATGTAATTGAGGATAAAATTGTAAAATGCTCAAAATACTGGCCAGACTCTGAATTAGGAAAAGTGAAGTACGGTAGTTTCACCCTGGCGCTTATTGATGAGAAAGAGTATGCTGATTTTGTTATTAGGTCGGTAAAAATTAAAACGACACATAACGCCCATACAAAAGTTGTACATATCTTCGATTTCTGTTCTTGGCCAGACCATGGTGTACCCGAGGATACTATTCCTCTTCTCGAATTTCGACATAAGGTTCGCGAATACCACGGAAATGACAAGTCGCCACTCGTGGTGCATTGTGGGACGGGAGTGAGTAGAACAGGAACTTTTATTGCAATTGATGCCTTATTAGAGCAATACGAGGCAGAAGGTATTATAAGCGTATACTCATTTGTTAAAAGGATGCGAAAAGATAGAATAGCTATGGTGCGGACAGTTAAGCAGTATATTTTCATTTACGAGGCAATTTTCGAAGCTCGTGTTGCAGGCGACACACGTGCTGGCTATGATCTGAAAGAAAAATACCACACATTAACAATGCGCAATCCGAAAACAAAACACTCGTTTCTTAGGGACCAATTTATATCTTTGCAATTGTTCACTCGAAAACCGACTCAGAAAGAGTGTTCAGATTCTCATATTCCGATGAATTATTCAAAAAATCGTTTTCCTGACGTTGTCCCTCCGAACAAACACAGACCAATATTGAGAACTCCCGGTGGTCTAGAACGAACAAATTATATCAATGCTGTGTTCTTGGACAGTCACGAGCTAGACAATCATTTCATTGTGACACAGTCCCCGCTACATACGACTGTAATTGACTTCTGGAAACTCGTGTATGACCTTGGCGTCCAGACAATTGTTATGATGGAGGATTTTAAGAGCGAGGATGACACTTCGGCGGAGTATTGGCCGGAAGACAAAATCAAGAAATTCGAACCGTTTTTCGTGGACAACACAAACATATGGCAGCAGGAGAATGTGACAATTCGTCACTTCAAACTTCATAGCATGCTGAAACCGAAATCGACGCCTCGTGACGTTCGTCAGTTTCAGTTCAATGCTTGGAGCGAAAACGATTTCATACCAAAGTCAAAAACAATGCTCTTAGATCTCATTGACTTGGTGCGGAGTTGGCAAAGACAATCCAACGAGAACACTGCCCCTATAGTGGTGCACTGTAAAGATGGCGCCACTCACAGCGGGCTTTTCTGTGCAGTATGGACGATATGTGAAGCCATGGAAATGGACCATGATGTTGATGTGTATCATACTGTTAAGCACATGAAGAGGCGCAGGCCGCAGATCGTGGATACTCTGGTAAATGCTTTACAAACCTTTTATGTACCTTCGTAAATCAGTATCATCAAAATGTCATGATTTTGTGATATCGTTCCTCTTCATAAATCCATGACAAAAGTCGCTATTTAAAAGTTGGGCATATGGTAACACATGACGTAATGGTTAATTAAAAAACACCAATGAGAATATATCATAAGTTTCAAATCTGTTGTTATTAATATGGCTCAAAGCGATAGCACATATTTTGTGATTGTAAGGAGAAGGATCTTCCAAAAATTATTCTCCGGTATTTTAATTGAGGTAACTAGTCACAAATCCTATGATATGAGCACTTTCCATTTTAAAGACAAGTCATATTTGTTTACAAAACTTACCTTCAATGAAGATTGTTTTCTGATAGGTTCCCAGTCCTAGATCGGGAACAAATGAAATAGTGACTTTTTAGCTCGACTTTCAAATAGCAACTTTTGTCAAGGCTTTGTAAAGAGGAACGATATCATGAAACCTTGAGATTGTGAAGATGATAAATCATTAGAATGACAACAATAATCTTAATTCAATTAATATGTTTGTTTTTAATGAAAGTTTCTGTTTTCTTCAATTTTGTATGAAGTACATGTAATATACCCAGTAAACACAAATCCATTGTTTCCCACGCTGAGTATAATGTATATTTTTTATTGTGATTTTGCAGGACCAGTACAGATTTTGCTATAAAGTGTTGTGGGATTATATGAATCTGCGCATGCCTGGTGGAACTTTGACCAACATGATGAATCATACCAAACAGGATCGCTTATATAACGTTGGCAGTTTAAGTTTGGCTTCCTATACATCACATTTAGAATACATGTAAAACTATGGTCTAAATCATTTTGTGCTAAAATATAGTTTTATGTGGCAATTAACGTTGCATTTAAGTATTTCTAAAATCATTCGAGCCAGTTTACAAGAGGTGCTGTTTTTTTCTCTCTAACGTACTGTAGTGCTTCAGATATGAATGTACCGGAAATGACACGGTGTAATTGAATCATGGATATCTTTTAATTTTCACTTTTAATTATTAAGATATTGAGGTATGCTGTGATTAATTTATATTATGAGATGTAGATAAATTGGTTTCTTTTATATCTTTTTTCTCAGAATTTTATATGATGAATTTGATCAAAAACACAAAAAAGCTCATGAATACATATAACAAGAATAGGCATTTTAAGACCACACATGTTAAAATGGTTAATATTGTTTTTAAATTCATTTCTTCGTAGACTGTAGTTAAGCTGAATTTTTTTTTCAGCCTTACAATAAATATGCACTTGCTAGATTTCTTTATTTAAATTAATGCATTTTGTGTGCCTTGTGTGCGATATTAAATGAGTGTTGCCGTTATTTCATACGATATTGCAAGACTGTGATATACTTAAAGCATGGATATTTATTGTCAAATTTAGAAATAAATTTTTAATACATTTAAAATACATTATTTATTTTATTCTAATTAATTATTATTATAATTATCTGGGGAGTGGACTTAGCCTTTTCCGCATGTTCTGTCTAGATGGCCTCCGAAGTAACATTTAAGCATTGATGTTTAATTTTGAAAGATGTCTCGTAATTGCAACGGTGTGTGCAAACAAATTTAGTAATACGCGTTGACAGTTGCAATTACAAGACTACATCCTTCAAAAATGATAATTTAATGTTTATACTTACATTCTTTGAAATTCATTCTTAATTCACTGACAAATGCTATGTAAACTCAGTAATAATTTTCATTCACATTTTGACTTATAAATCTCAGTTGTATCAAAATAAGAGACACTGTGCAGAATCTGCCACATCTGTTTCATACTTTGATGTTTTACTGACTTAAGACCTTAATGGCAAACTAACAACTAGAAAATATGATATTAGTAAACATGATGACTTCAGAATTTCCATCGTTTATCCTCAACTGATTCGGTACACAAGAACATGTTCTGAGAACAATAAATTTTTAAACCGAACAGGCAACAGGCTATTGACAAATAGTTTTATGATACAAAGCATTCTACAATTTCGTTTAGAGTCAGTATGTCGCAAATTCTGTGGTAGTTAGAAAGTATTTGCATTATACAGTCTATCGTTTGGTGGTATTTTGAACGACGTGTTCCATACCAATTGTCAGGTATTTTTTAAATGCTAATTTTGACTACAGACCACTCCATTTCTCTAATTAATACTGAAGGCTCACGTCGGATGTGACCGATCGACTGGTGATGCTTACTCCTCCCAGGCACCTGATCTCACTTCTGGTGTTTTTTTTTTTTTTTTTTTTTTTTTTTTGTTTTGTCCTGTTCAAGATTTTTATAGTTTACAGGATTTATGAGATTATGATTCGTTATAATTATAAATCTACAACTTTTTTAAATACGTGTTTATGCTACGAATATTTCTTATTTGCAAAAGCACAATTAGGATTAGGTTCTGCCTATAATAATACCCGCCCATTGACCTTTGAATGCTCTTTGATTGGAATTACATTTAGTAAATACAGCTACCCAACAACGAGTGAAATATTATAATTGCTGCTGCATATATCTTGCTTGAACATTCTGTGCTGAAATTGAAACGAACCAGTACGACATATGTGTACATGGGAACAGCATCTTAATTGTGACAAAGTCTTCCTTTTTGATGAATTTATTATTTTCCACTCGTGGTAATCCAAATTTAATTTGGAAAATATAATAATATATTGCTGCGATTCGAAGAAGAGTATTTATTTTGGCTTTTAATTTTATACTGTAACGAAATGCCTTGATTTGTGAAAATTGAGCCTCAAGTCTATTTTTTTGGTTAAGTATAATCAGATTTCGTCACTAGTATCGTAATCCATATTTGATGATAAAAATATTAATATTAGTCTGATAAATCTTTTATTGAAAACATTATTGATAGTGGTTTGTAAATGTTCAATTAGATTTTGATACTTTTATTTGAGATATAATACTAATATACATGTGGGCGCTACCTGTTTTCTATTTCATTTTCATTTTATGAGAAAAAAAAATTATTAATGAATATAAATACGCTTTCGATTGCTAAAAATTAGACATAGGCTTTTATAACATTTACATACTTGCATAATTTAGGACGAAAATTCAGTTTTTAGCTGTCTAGTTGATAGAATGAAGAGTGAATACTTTTTTTCTTTTATCCACACTTTCAAAGATTTTCCAGATCCAACCTGTACTGTTTGGCATTTGGGCATTTGGTTTTGTATTTGGGCATTAATTATTTCAAAAATAGAGTATTTCTTACTATTTTGATTGAATACTGAAAAATATGTAATGTCTTAAAAGGGTGACACAATTGTACCTGATATAAAAAGATGATCATCTGAATAAAACTCAGTATGAACTATCTTCCTCGAGTAAATATCAGCTGTGCAATTTTGATGTGTGATATAAAATGAGATTAGAGTCATAAAATTTAATAAAATGAGAGTTTTCAATCCCCCCTCCCCCTAATTGTAGTTGAGAGGGAAAAACTGGCAACATAGAATAAGTTCACACTCAGTTTCTGCAATTACCTTTTATAGACATGTACATTGCAAATAAATGTACATTCAACTACTTCAAAATAATGCTGTTGCTGTTATGGTGTCTTAATTCATCTAGTTTTTCGAAAAACTTTTGAAAACAAATCCATTTAAGCAACACGCATAATAAATTATTAAACAAGAAGAAAAAGAAGTTAGATATAATGGACAACGCAGAATCAAGAAAGATGCTTGAAAACAGTTTCTGGGTTGTAACCGGTCGACAGGGAATGCTCACTTGATCCTACCTCTAGGATTTCCAGGGGTCCGTGTTTTATGGTCTGTTCACAGATTTGAATTGTTTGAAGTTTTGTTTTTTTAGATCGATCACTATTCGTTATCTTCATCTTTTTTATTGTAGTATATTCTTAGAATTTTACAGCACGTATTTTTTTTTATCTTAATTGATATAGAAAAACATATTTTTTTGATGCTGGAGTTTTTCGCTATCTTATTCGACCAGTCCTGGGTATTTTTCTTGGCTTATTCCCCTATGACGTTCGCAGATTACAGCTGGAGAATATTAGGCGTAAAAGAAAGGAACTCAAATCTTGCTGCTAACGGTTTTTTTTAAGCATTCGTCAGTAAAGAGAAATCTTAACAAAGAACTGATACAGTAAAATGAAAATGTAACCATTGTCTCCACACCATATTGTAAATAATGATGTTTTAACCCTTATAGTTACTATCACTTGTGTAATGTTACATAATTAAAAAGAATGTGTTTTAACACGACCTTTGTAGATCTTTAATTATGTCTCAATGACCCCGCAATCGTGTTTCCAGTAATGATGGTAATCATTTACAGTGATATGAAAAAAGATAACTAATGAGAAAAGGATGACTAAATAAGATGAAAAAGATGAATTTCAGATGAATAAAAGATGACTACAATGCTACCATACAAATGAATAAGACGTATTCGGTACACACTAAGGGGAAAAGTATTTTCTTCTCTCTGGCTTTTATACATGTAATTATTACTAATAGACAAATATAAGGAGTTCTTTGTGACAAAACAAAGTTATGAAAGGACGGGTAATAAGGTGAATTAGGATACCAGTAGCTTCTATTAATCAAAAGTCAAATTAAGTTCTGAATTCAATGCTGAATGCAATATTTTTATCAATTATAAGGTATGAAACTGTACCAACCAAAAGTTTCTTTCAGATTAATTCTGTAACCAAAATTATTCATTGGTAAAACAGAAATGAAAATGAATTAGCATTGTTTGCCATGATCGAATCCATTTTCAAATGGGTAAGTTACAAATAAAGGAAGAGCCATTGCAACAGCCCGTGAACTTTCCTCATTTTTGTAGTAATATTCCGCTATAACCTGCATCTGGTGTTTACGTCTCCCAACTTATTCGAAACTCAAGAAAATGCTCTGAGTACGATCTATTTTTAAACCGAGACAGGCTATTTACAGATAAGTTGATGTTACAGGGATTTAAACAACCTCGTTTTATGTCAGCATTTCGTAAATTCTATGGTCGTTATAATGACCTTGTTAGTAAATATTATCTACGGTATCATTGGTCGTGTCTTGTCTGACGTGTTTCATTCCAATTGTTACGCCTTTGTATTTATACTACATTGGACAACGGAATACATATGATCATATGATCATAACATAGGGCTCAAGGCGGGTGTGACCGGTCGACAGGGAATGCTAAATCTTCCTAGGCACTTGATCCCATCTCTAGAATATTGATAAAACATCAGCAATGTATCTGAATGTCGAATAACAAGTTCAAGCATATCAAAGAAAGTGACCGGATGAAATTATTTTAATTTTGTTAATTTGATTTTATTTCAATTGTCCAACCATGGGCAATATGGATTTGCCCCCCCCCCCGCCCCGCCCCTTTCTTTGTTTTGTAAATACACTCCTACATGACCCAGTGTCCGGGCTATAAAACTTAGACGAGTTCACTTTTGATCCCAGTCTCACTTTACCGAAAGATTGATTGATTGATTGTTGTTGAACGTCCCGTTCGAGAATTTTTCACACATATAGAGACGTCACTGTATGCCGTTGAAGGGCTTCAAATTTAGACCTATACTCGGCACTCAAGGCCATAGAGCTGTGAGTGTTCTTTATCGTGGCAACGCCTACCGTGACACGGGACCTCGGTTTTTAAGGTCTCATCCGAAAGATCCGTGACTTTCATTTCTAGTTCCGGGCGCTTGGCGAAGGAACAGTCACTACCTATGTTTACTTCTTAGGTTTGACGCGGCACAAAGCGAACGCCATACTACACTGTACTAGGCTACCGTAACCGGTTTTTACCAAAGGAATTTGAAGCAGAAGAGTGAGACTGTGATCAAAAGTGAACTCATTTACGTTTTATGACCCCCGGAGCCAGGTGACCATTGCCTGAAAGATAAAATAATTTTGATACTCAGATGTCATCAAGGTCCATCTGATCGATAAATCCACAATCACAACAAGCATCTATGCCTATTGACATCATCGATGCAATTAGGTAAGTCAAATGTTTACATTGATCTTTGTACATGATTACATAAGAAAACAAATCCTTTCTTCCTTAGCATTCTCTTAAAAGTCTTTTTTCACGAAGTCTGGATTCAATCCAATTAGGGAACAATTTCCTTTGTAATTTATGAAAGTAACTTGAATAATTGGGATCAGAATAATCACCACGACTACTGTACCTATATCTTCAGACAGATAAGTAGTTTTCAGAGTGTAATGGCATTGTTAAATCAAAATGCATTTGGTAATTTAGGGGATAAGGAAATGCCAATAGCTTCGATTGCATATATAAAAGACAAATTCAGTTCTTGAATTCAAAGTTGAATGCAGTGTTTTTACC